ATTCTCATTTACATTGGCAAAGAGTCATTTTATTGTTTTAAATATGATATTTGTTTTGTAATATGTTTATAGCTAATATTTTTGCTTTATTTCAACGTAAATAATACATTAAAATTCCAGATCCGTATGTCTTAGAATCAAGCACTGAATGTTTTTACCTCATTTAGTTACAGGGAATAGAGACTAGTGCTTTGAAGCTACCAAAAAAAGACACAAAGCTATTTTTTTCTCTTCACAATATGCCTTTCGCATCACTTCATTTCTCAAAGAGTCTCAAATTGTTCAAAGACTTTTTTCTAAAGCCATCCTCTCAACAGAAAATGAAACTCATAGACTGAGTGAAATGTCTCATTACAGGCAGTTCAGAATTGATTCTCCCTTTTATGATACAATATTTGTTGTGCAGTTTGAACACTACATGAATGGTATGTTAAAAAAAAACAAGCAAAATATGATCATGTTAAAGCATTAAAGGTGCAGAAGATGATCTGCCAAAATGATAAACGTTAGCATAATAGCTTTGAAAATACAGTCTCTCCCCTGCTGAAAAAATCCAGCTCAAACCAGCCTAGGCTGATTGGCTGGTTTTAGCTGGTCGACCAGCCTGGTTTTAGAGGGGTTTTATCCACTTCCAGGCTGGTTTTCAGCCATTTCCAGCCTAGTCTTAGCTGGTCAGGCTGGAAGATGATCAGCTAAAACCAGCTTGACCAGCCTAGCCAAGCTGGGAGTCCAGCCAAAACCAGCTATATCCAGCTTAAACCAGGCTGGTCAAGCTGGTTTTAGCTAGATTTGGCTGGTCATTTTCTAGCCTGACCAGCTAAGACCAGGCTGGAAATGGCTGGAAACCAGCCTGGAAATGGCCAAAATCCCTCTAAAGCCAGGCTGGTCGACCAGCTAAAACCAGCCAACCAGCCTAGGTTGGTTCAAGATGGATTTTTCAGCAGGGTCCCTTGCCTTCCAAAGCCATGCCTGCTGAAATCACGAACGCACAGCTTAAATTAGTAGTCAGTAGACAACCCAGCAGATCATGTCATTCACCAGTTAGAAAACTTTATAATACTTCACAAACCACAATTCCGAATGAAAAACTGTATTTTATCTAGCAGGTTTTTTGTTGTGTAGCAAGCAAAACTTGTAATAATGTGCAATGTTTTATGCATGCAAGGATTGCTGGTCTCCCTCTCTTACATGCCCTGTCCTAAAGCGACTACTGTATGCAATTAGCCAGCGCTGTGCAGGAATTACACTTATTACTAAGCCATACTTACGTTATTTCAGAGTAGCATGGTACACAATATAGGGAGCGCATCATAGGTTGTCACTGTTCAAAAGTGAACTAGTGTGAATATAAAACTAACTTCAGGTCAGTAAAGCAGGCTAGGTGGAAAAGCTTACTCCTGTTTTGTTGTTAATCTAAGTAAAATTATTGATGCTGTAAAAGGTCCCTTATGAAAATAGTCACATCAGTCTTTAGCCGGAACAACACTTCTGTGTATATAATCCATTCATATCCCAACAATATCTATGTGAGAGGTGGGTAGTAACGAATTACATTTACTTCTTTACATTTACTTGAGTAAAATTGTTGGATAACGTGTACTTTTTGAGTACTTTTAAAAATGTGTACTTTTACTAAAGTAAATTATTAGAGAAAAATCATTACTCTTACTTCGCTCCATTTGGCAGCGTTCCTCCGTTACTGTCAAATGATAATAAATATGATTGATATGACTTGTTTGCAAATATCACGAGGCGCCGCACTGGAGAGGTTGTGTCGCGAGAGGTTGCTGTAGAGACGCATCTCCTGCTTTCTATTGCGCACGCCCACCTATGTTAGAATGATGGCTGAAGTCGAGAAAGACGTGTGAGTTGGTTTATACTGCGGCCACGCCATGGTCATCTGCGGTTCTAAGAAGGACAGTCACGCTGTCTGTGTAGTGAGTTTATCAGACCAGGTCACCCATGGCCTCAAGTTCAGTCTATGTTTTCACTCCAAGATGTCAACAAGAATAGTTTGATAATGCGATCCCTGCTGTATATCGAACTGACATTGCAACATATACATGAGTTACAGATCCAACCTAAAAACACGTCCTATTGGTAAGTGTCAACATTATCCCAATTTGAACTTTATTAATGATAACTATAGGTCAACTAAAGAAACTGCTGTATAATAGAATAACTGTCACGATTGTGGATCTGTCTGCTCTTCTATGATTACCTGTTACACTGTTAACCATTAAAATATAACATTTAAACACTATTTTATGTTAAAAAATTATGTTTAAGTATTATATTTTTAATGGTTAACAGTGTGTTAATGACTTGTATGTGTTCATATATAAAAATATATATGAAGTCAGAATAATTAGCCGCCCTGTATATTTTCCCCAATTTCTGTTTAACAGAAAGATTTTAGCAACACATTTCTACAGTTTTAATAACAAATATTTATAACTGATTTCTTTTATCTTATGCCATGATGACAGCAAATAATATTTGACTAGATATTTTTCAAGATATTAGTATGCAGCTTAAAGTGACATTTAAAGGTTTAACTAGGTTAATTCTGCGAGTTAGGGTATTTAGGCCCCTTAAAATGTTTGGTCCCACTTTATATTAAGTGTCCCTAACTACTATGTATACTTACACCAAAAAAAAAAAAAAAATACAATGTACTTACTGTGTTTATGATGTATTTGAGAACACTTGTGGTGCTTTTGAGTTGGAATAGAGGTAGGGTTATGGAAAGGTTTGATGGCATGGGTAGGTTTAAGGGTGGGATAAGGTGTAAGGGATGGTCAACAGTGTATTTACAAATGTGATTACAAAAGTTAATTATAGATGTAATTACATACATGTATTTAATCAAGCATAAGTACACAGTAAATGCATGTATTTACACAATAAGTACATTGTAACAAACTATTAATTCCTATGTAAGAACATATTAGTTAAGGCCACTTAATATAAAGTAGGACCAAGTGTTTTTAAAAACAATAAAAACTACTTTTATTTAAGTCGATATAAAACAAGTAAGACTTTCGCCAGATGAAAAAATATTATAGGAAATACTGTTAATAATTTTGTGCTCTGGTAAACATCATTTGGAAAATAATTGACAAAGAAAAAAAGCTGTTTATATATACATTTCACTTTGCGTGACTAAAATAGTTTTAAAACAGAACATTACCTGTCTAACTAAAATACTTCAGCAATGGAGTTATCATTCCTCCAGCGTGCAAAAGTAACTCCAATATTGATTCAGGATCTTAAAAAGTTTTGATTCAGCATTTGTTTTTACCGCTGTCGATCTCATGTGTGCGTGCATGCGCAAACAGCTGTCTGTCTGCTTGAACAGGGGTGCGCAGATGTACAAATTAACATACACAGTTTGAGCTACTTATCAGAATTATGGGAAATATCGGCCCGACAAATTTTAATTGGGCGAACAATTTTTATTCTTTTGGCAGAATATAAAAAAACATATAAACACATTTAGATAATTTACTGTAATCATTACTATTAGAATGTGAAGAGACTTTCAACTAGCACAACAAAAAAATGTGTCTGATGTCAAACATCTACTGCATCTTTAAACAATTGAATCATGATTGATGAAAATGAATAATAAACTCTTAAATATCATTACATTTTTAATGAACACAATGAATGCGCAAAGGAGAAACTTTAATTACCTTCTGAAAATCTTGATATTTGCTTTAGGTTATGGCAACAATATTGCGTAAATTAAGATTTTTCTAGACTGATGGTTCATTTTGTCATTTTGAAGCTTGACGGCTCCAATACTTACTTACTTTCGTGAAATTTGACTCGCCAATATACAGGGCCAGATTTACCAATGGGTATTATGGACACAGGCCCAGGGGCCCGTCAGCACTCAGGGCCCCTGCAAGGAGGGAGGAGGGGGGGGGGGGGGGGGGGGGGTGTAAATGCAGATTTTGGAGTGTCTATTTAGGATAAGTGCAAGTAGTGCACCTCGTTGGAATAAACTAGTTAAGCGGTTCACGCCCATCACCGTTTGTTTGACAGAGACAACATAACTAAAGAGCGCAACAGACAGCAGCGTGAGTGGCATATCTCGTAAGGTGCATGGCAACATCTTTTGACACGATTAATCGTGAACCCGGTTCAAATCCAGCTTCTTATGAACATGTTCTTATCCCCCACAACTACATATCAGATTTTGCCTACTCTTCATCACGAGGAAGATTAGTAGAAATCATTAATAAGTGTGTGTATTTTAAAGGACTCAGATTCCTAGAACTGGATTGAAAAAGTGTTAAATCCAAATCATGGGCAGTATAAGTTTTTAGAAGTTATGCATTAAAAAATACCCTTAAATATACATTTTTAGTACTGCTTCGGTAAGCTTAAACAAGTAAATTAAAATCCATTCATTTTCATAGGTTATATTAGTATTTATTTTTTCAAAGTGTGCTTTAAATGCTTTAAAAATAAGTAAAATCTCTAGACTAGAAATATATGTACTGTAAATCATTTATCTTAAAAATGCAGGCAATACATTATAGATTATTTTATTTAACAAACACTATATTAATCTTATTTTTTAATTCAACTACAGGAGTGCGGCTAGGTAGGGGGCCTACAAGACATTGTGCCCAGGGGCCTCTAAATTATTAATCCGGGCCTGCCAATATATGAGAGAGAGAGTATATTATATTTTTCGGTGAGCTATTGATAATGTGTTAATAATACTGGAAACCATAAACAGACTACAGTTAGGCTAATAACCATATTCCTTGGTGGAAGGGCTGTTTATTGTCAGCTACAATAAAAAAATGTCATTATTTATTGAGCCTGTGTCTTTATCATTGCTGTTGCTGGTGTATAATGAGCCAAATGAGACCATGTGCTAGTCATTTTCTTTCCTTATTGCTATAATTGATTTTTACTCCCACTTCCCAAACTCTGGCTGCTTCTCTAACCCTTCACTTCATCTTTCTGTCTTTCTCCAGCTGTCCATGGAGGACACCACCTCCATTTTGCCCCGTCTGAAGCGGAACTCCAACGCCTATGGGATTGGAGCTCTGGCTAAGTCCTCTCTGACAGGTGTGTCAGGTGTGTGTCTGTCCTGGTAGCTGGTAACCGACCCCATGTTGGCTCCAGAGGAGGAGAGGGCGATTGGAGCCAACATGGCCGCCCCTGTGGGTCCCCCTCCCCTTCCAGTTTCACCACCTGCCTCCTCCATTAATTAGTGCATGTCAATGGCCTCATTAGCCATTGATGAAATCCCCAGTCAGATCCGACAAGAGTTCACACACACACAAAAATGGCTGACGTAAGTGCACTATCCATCTCCACAAGCTTGGGAAACGTAGTCTTTGGGTGTGACGCCAGCTGTGTTTTGTAGTGTGTTTGGTGGTTCTGTGAGATGTAGTGAAGTCAACTGTCGGTTGGTCAGTGGTGTGTTGTGCTGTCGTTGTTTTTTTTATATGGTTTATGGGAACGTAGGTATCTGAATATCTCATGTCCTGTATCTTTTGTATTTCTCTTGTTTTTCTTAAATGCTTTATAATGGGGTGAAGTGCTCAGGTTACAGCGTTAGATTGTTTTCCCTCTGGAACAAATGGCGGTGATTTATCAAAGTGCTTAAAGAGAGGCAGTCACTTCATCAGATGTGTTTTTTATCATTGTCAGTGGCCTAGAGACAAATCGACCAGCTTACCATCAGACTACCTTGTTTTTAATCGTACAATTTTAAAAGGAAAGCTAGAATTGAATATACTACCTGACAAAAGTCTTGTTGATGATCTCTGTGTAAGAGCTACAAATAATAATTTGACTTCTAGTTGATCATTTAGAAAAGTGGCAGAAGGCAGATTTCTTTGATGATCATCTGTTGAACTGCATCAAAATCATCACAAATACTGCTGAAGACCTATTGGAACCTGCATGGACCCAAGATTCTCATGGAAATCGGTCAAGTTTGGTGCAAAAAAAATCATGGTTTGGGGTTACATTCAGTATGAGGGTGTGTAAAGGCTAATTTATACTTCTGCGTCAAGCGCACGCGTATGTTCCTGCACAGCCTATGCATGGCTACATAGCCCTCACCGAAGCTGACGCGCACCTCTCAAAAAATGTATTTACACGTCACAACAACACCTAGCAAAAGCTCTGTGATTGGTCAGCTTGGTAGCGCTGACGAGTGTGGGCAATACCGAGAGCCGTGCGAACCCGTTGGAGCGAATGTTTACAAGTTTAGAGTCGCATGAAGGAGCTCCAGGTAGAAACTTTTGTTTTGTGTTTACTTTATGATTAAAGTTGTCGCACGTCTGCCGTATCCCACCTAAAAATGAACGAGTTTGAGCTACTTCTTCATTAAAGTAGCATTCAGAAAAAAAAAACAGCAAAGAAACACGACACAGAGGAGCATAAACACCTACTGAAGTAAAAATGCAAACAAACCACTAAATAAATAAATAAATAAATAAACACAAAAAAATTTGTACTTACACAAAAAAAAAATAAAAAAAAAACATTACAAACCACAGGAGATGAGCACTCCTTCTCATAATTCACCCTCCACATCAAAGTTCCTGAAAGCAAAGAAGATCAAAGTTTTCTAGGATTGGCCTGCCCAGTTACCAGACATGAATATTATTGACCATGTCAGTGGTAAGATGGAGGAGGAGGCATTGAAGATGAATCCAAAGAATGTTGATAAAATCTGGGAGTCCTGCAAGAACGCTTTCTTTGTCGTTCCAGATGACTTTATAATTAAGTGATTTGAGTCATTGCAGAGATGTATGGATGCAGTCCTCTGAGGTCATGGGAGTCATACACAATAATACTGATTTTACCACTGCTCCATGAGTTTATATTCTACACTGGACATTATTTCTGTTAAGTGACAAGACTTTTGTCTCAGCAAAGTCAGACCTTACCGTCCTAATTAAATAATTAAAAAGTCAAGACATGATCATATTTTATTTTGGTAAAATAAGCATAACCCAGAGGCTTTTGCCTTCCATATAAGCCACTTCTGATACCAAATGATCAACTAGAAGTCAAGTTATTATTTGTTGTTCCTAAAACTTGGAAATGCGATGAGACTTTTGTCGGGTAGTGTATTTGTTGTTCTTCTAAATATTCAAACATGCATAAAAAGCTTATAAATCTCACGTAAGTCATTAGTTTTGTGAATAATGTGTTTCAACTAGCGATCGATCAGACCAACAGACCGTAGCTCATTCATAATCACTCATTCAGTTTTTTCCCTCATGCACTAGTTTAGTCTTATAGCTAACTAAAGTAAAGACACATATTCCATAATGCACTGCCTGGCTGCCTCCATTTCGCCCCTGCAGCTGCACGCGGAGGCGGTTCAGGTCCTGATGTGTTTTTTTTCTCTTTAGGGGTTACCAGATCAATGAAGGACAAAGTGACCAAGCCCACTGCCATGGCTCAGGGTCGCGTGGCCCACATGATTGAGTGGCAGAGCTGGGGCAAACCATCCGCAGGGCCGGAGGGGGGAGCGGGACGCTCCAATCTAATCCGCGAGAGGGAGAGACGGCTTGAAAACGACGCTTATAGTGACTTGAGTGATGGAGAAAAAGAGGCACGGATGGCAGCGGGTGAGAAGATTGATTAAAGATGCTGTGATGATAGAAAATCTGTATTGTTTATTATTAAAACCACAACAAATTAATAATGTACAGTGTTGATAGTATGTTTGTGTGCATTTAAAGGCATAGCTCAGCCAAAAATGTACCAGTTTACACACCCCTCCTTTGTTTTAAAAATTTATGAATTTCTTTCTTCTGTTGAACACAAAGAAGACATGGCAAACATGCTGGAAATCTGTAACCATTGACTTCCATAGTATCTGTTTTTCCTACTTTGGAAGTCCTTAATTTTCTGCTTTTTTTCATAATATCTTCCTTTCTTTGTTTTCAACAGAACAAAAAAGCTCATAAGTGTTTGAAAACACTTTTTGGGTGAACTTCCCCTTTAACTGTGTTACAGCATGGGGGCAGAAATATGCACTTTTCTGTTGAGGGCAACATTTGATATTTGGATTTGATTTCTCCCTCCTTAAAGGTGCAGTATGTAAGTTTGACACCCAGTGGTTGAACTAGGTATTGCATTCCTGGATCTAAACACATGCAAGCGCAGGTTGCCAGATTGAGGACCAACAGAAATGTACCAGACTGCCGAGCCTGATTTATCAGATCAATCGTGTTCTATATAAAAGCACCGGCACATGACAGAAGGAACATTTTTATAATAAAAGAAGTATTTGTCCAAACAATACCTGGAATTTAAATTTTAGAAAAGACTTTTATTTCTCACCGCTGAACAACAGAAAACGTGATGACAATGATCACCTCAGGTACACCTCATGTGCTTTATTCAGTGGTAAATGCTAACAATGTGAGTTTGGATGGCATTTTACGTGACATTTATTCCTTTACTACTGAAAGTACAAGCAGACTGTTGAAAATAAAATAAACTGTTTGAAACTTTAGAACTGTGAGATAATGCGAACTAACACATACTAGCGATTCAGCATCTACATTTAATAATGTTAAAGAGGTTTAACATGTATTTATTAAAGTATAAGACTTACCATTTTGTGAGTGAGCGCATATTCTGTGCTTCTGATGGCTGTATTTAAAATTCTGTCGTGCTGCATCTGGTGCAAACTGCACTGCAAATCTACAATGTAACCTAATCACCTAGTGTTTACGCTGGTAATATTTATGTTATTTGATCAGTAATAACATTATGTAGAACTCTGAATCTGCGTCTCATTTCAGAGTCTGCTACTGTCCAACGGAGGTCGCATTTCTGACGCGGCCGCATACTTTGAGAGCCTTCCTGACTGAATGAATGAAATACTGTTTTTCACAAAGGCAACCCGGGGTGCTGAAATATAATTGGCTAAACTGGAAGTGGGCGGGTTAAAGAACCAAAACAAAGACAAACGTTCCAGCATGTAACTCACATTTTCAAAGCAGAATATCTGACTTCAGCATTGTTTTTCAGATAAACAAGAATGTTCATTTGTAGCATGTAACATTGTAACATGTTTCTTAAATATCTGCAAACATATTATAGATTTTTTGTGCTTTTGAAGAGCCAAAAACTTTCATATAGCACCTTTAACCTTGAATGAGTTGCTTAGATTTACATTTAACTGACGCTAGATTTACATAACTGACGTTAAAGGACATCTTTATAGTTTATTCAATTTTATTTCACATTCTGATTTGCCATTTTTCAGCTTTTTTAGTATATATCTACCAAATCCAAATCAACCAAATCTCCTACCACAGCTATGTTGATGACACTAAAATCTACTTAGCCTTATTGCCTTATGACTACAGCCCCATTGACACCCTCTGCCAATGAATTGATGAAATGAACAGTTGGATGTGCCAAAATGTTACTCAGTTAAACAAAGAGAAAACTAAAGTCATTGCATTTAGGAACAGAGATGAGGTTCTCAGGGTGAATGCATACCTTGGCTCTAAGGGTCATACAGCAAAAAATAAGGTCAAGAGTCTTAGTGTGATTTTGGAGTGTGAGTTTCAGTAGTCATGTCAAAGTAGTAACTAAATCAAAAACATTGCAGGAATTAGATGCTTTGTTTCCAGTGAAGACTTAGAGAAACTCATTCATGCTTTTATCAGCAGCAGGGTGGATTACTGTAAAGGCCTCCTCACTGGTCTTCTCAAAAAGACAGTCAGAGTTGCAGCTCATCCAGAAAACTGCAGGGTTCTGACCAGAACCAAAAAATCAGAGCGCATCACACCTGTCCTCAGGACTTTACACAGGCTCAAAGTTACATTCAGAATAGATTTTAATGTATTATTACTTGTCTATAAATCACTAAATGGCCTAGGACGTCAATAGATTACAGATGTGTTCACTGAATACAAACCTAACAGATCACTCAGATCATTAAGATTAAGTAAATTAGAAATGCCAACAGTTCAGTCAAAGCAGGGTGAATCCACCTTCAGCTATTGCACCCCATGCTGCTGGAATAAGCTAACAGAAATGATCAGATGTGCTCCGAGCAGATGTACTTAATCAGAATAAAAATTTCTTTTGCAACATTATGAAAGCATTTTCGGTCACTTTTGATTAATGTATTCAAATGTTTATACAGTGTACTTTATCTTCAGATAAATATCAAAATCATAAATCTGTTCCTTGCAGGTGTCATGCAGCAGTTTGCCATCTCTGAGGCCACACTTTTAGCCTGGAACTCACTGGATGGAGAGAGTCTGTGTGCCGACTCGAACCAGGGCAGCGTGGCTCATCTTAGCGAGGTCAACCAGGAGAGCATCACCAGCAGAGGTGACGCTCGCAAACTTCCACCTCGCAAGACTTTAATAAAGCAGTGTCTTCTCTGTTCTGTCACGGCCACACTACCAGTCACAAGACTGGAATCAGTGGGATGTTTTAAAAGAGGTCAATTCTGCTCACCAAGGCTGTGTTTATATGATCAAAAGCACACTAAATACTGAAATATTATTACAGATTATTCTCATTTAACGTAGCTTCACATTTATTTTATTCCTGTGATTCAAAGCTGAATTTTTATCATCATTACATTAAATTTATTTATAAACTAATTTCGAGAGTATCACTTGCTTATGAATGCTTGTGGCTGGCCCCGCATTATCCAATTTATGATTCACTGATCAGACGATTCCTAAGCCACTATAAAGCTATATAACCTAAAAAGCTAAACACTATAAAACCCTAAGTTTCATATAACAGCCATATTCGTTTTGAAGAATCCCCATTTCCACCCCTGCTCCTCCTCCTTTCCTAGATGGGTGACACAGCTGCCCAGTGGTTAGCACTGTTGCCTCACAGCAAGACGGTCTCTTATTCTAGTCCTTACCAAGCCAGTAGATGTTTTTGAGCAGAGTTTACACGTTCTCCTCATACTCACGTGGGTTTCCCCCGAGTTCCCAGGTTTCCTCCCACCATCCAAAAACATGCAACTTAAGTTCAAGAGTTCACACTTAGATACTGTTTAAAAACTTGTTAGCAAGTTAGCAGGTTTGGCATGCTGTCCCGGGAGAGAACCCTGAGCTCGAAGATAGTTGAGCCCAGGGCTCCCGCCAGGTCCATAGAGCATGTGAGGGGAGTACGAGATCAGGTGTTCTCGAGAGTTCCCCTCGGCAAAAATAGGAAAGGAGGAGAAGGGGTGGATGGGGGGTTTCTTCGGGAAATGAAGATAAGGGAGTAATGTCTAGCTAGGTTACTTATAGTGAGTTTGGATCAATCTGATTGGCTAGCTAATGAGTTTAGATGAGTGGCCAGCTGCAGTCAATCATATCACATGCTCCTCTCGAAATTAGTTTGTGAAACTTCATTTAATTGACTAAAACAAATCGGCACCATAGACATGCTCATAGTAAGAAGTTATTTCTTAAGAACAATCTGCTCATTAGCTACAACAGCAGGGGAGTTCTCGAGATCTATCTGAGCTCAGACTCCCCTCTCGCCTTGCAAACGAAAGGGACCCCGGGCTAGAGGATCTTATGAGCTCAGGGCTCTGTCCTGGGACAGCATGCCAAACAAGCTTTATAATCAATCGTCAGCTAAGTGTAAACTCTTGAATCCAGATTTTAGTGTCACATGATCCTTCATAAATGATTATAAAATGACGATTTGCTGCTCTAATATGATCAGTTATTATTGTCACAAAATAAATCACTAATAATGATTCTCACAATTATCAGTGCTGATTTTGTTTAAGATAACTGTGATACATTTTTTACACATAGACATTTTTACTCTTAAAATTTTTGATTGAAAAAACGAACGTTCAAAATAATAGCTTTTATTTACAATTTTATTTATTTTATTCTCACTCACTGGCTACTTTATTAGGTACACTACTCTCTACTAGTACAGAGTTGGACCCCCTTATGCCTTTAGAACTGCCTTAAATGATCGTGGAATAGATTAAAAAAAGTTACTGGAAATATTCCTCAGACTTTTTGCTCCATATTGACATGATAGCATCATGCAATTGCTGCAGATTTGTTGGCTGCACATCCACGATGCGTATCTCCCATTCTACCACATCCCAAAGGTGCTCTACTGGATTGAGATCCAGTGACTGTGGAGGCCATTTGAGTACAGTGAACTTATTGTCATGTTAAAGAAACCAGTCTGAGATAATGCGTGCTTTATGACTTGGGGCGTTATCCTGCTGGAATTAACCATGAGAAGATAGGTACACTGTGGTCATAAAAGCATGGACATGGTCAGCAACAATACTCAGCTAGGCTGTGGCATTGACACAATGCTCAATTGGTACTAATGCGCCCAAAGTGTGCCAAGAAAATATCCCCCACACCATTACACAACCACCACCAGCCTGAACCGTTGATACAAGGCAGGATGGATCTATGCTTTCATGTTGTTGATGCCAATATCTGACCCGACCATCCGAATGTCGCAGTAGAAATCGAGACTCATCAGACCAGGCAACGTTATTCCAATCTTCTTTTGTACAATTTTGGTGAGCGTGTGTGAGTTGTAGTCTCAGTTCACTGTTCTTAGCTGACAGGAGTGACACCCGGTGTGGTCTTCTGCTGCTGTTGCCCATCTGTCTCAAGGTTGGACATGTTGTGCGTTCAAAGATGCTCTTCTGTAGACCTTGGTTGTAATGTTATTTGAGTTATTGTTGCCTTTCTATCAGCTGGAACCAGTCTGGCCATTCTCCTCTGACATCTGGCATCAACAAGGCATTTGCACCCACAGAACTGCCGCTCACTGGATATTTTTCCTTTTTTGGACCATTCTCTGTAAATCCTAGAGATGGTTGTGTTTGAAAATCCCAGTTGATCAGCAGTTTCTGAGATACTCAGACCAGCCCTTCTAGCACTAACCGCTATGCCATGTCCAAAGTCACTTAAATCAGCTTTCTTCCCCATTCTGAAGCTTGGTTTGAACTGGCAGTTGATCGTCTTGCACAAATCATGATATTTGAAAGATTATATCACACTGACGAATTGCATTTTCGGTCACTGTTGATTAATGCATTCAAATGTTTATACAGTGTGCTTTATCTTCAGATAAATATCAAAATCATAAATCTATTCCTTGCAGGTGTCATGACGCAGTTTGCCATTAATGTACATTTAATAAAACAAGTTATTTAATATTGCAATAACTATTTACAATTGAAGAGTCCAGATGCAAAAACTTCTAAAAGCCGTTTGAAATTTCCTTTAAAAATGAGCATTTTTATCAGGCTCCTGTGTGTATAGGGTCAGTAATATTATGGCAAGTTTATGGCACAGAATAAACTATTTCAAAGGTCCTTAAAATGAAAAAACTCAACATAAACATAGTAGTCTGAATAAAATGCTCGTTTTTCAAACTCTTCAATTTTAAATGTATTTTCTATTAAATAAATTCAGCCTTTGGGAGCCTAAACGTATGTGAGAATAAACGTATAGTAAATCAAAACATGAAAAAGTCATACTGATTCTGAATTGTTCACTGGTAGTGTATGCTTTCTAATTTTGCTCTCTTTATTTGGCTTCAGATGAGCAGAACAATCTTTCCATAAGCCACGACTCAGATATAACAAGCACACACACACATCTTAAGCTCATGCTTGCTTGATTATTACACTGACAGCAATATAAACCCTGTGAATATTCAGTATTATATCTTTTTTACATCACCTCTGATTTTCACCGATGTGCCTAGATTTTTTTTTTTCTGCGGATTTGATTTATATTGTTTACCGAGCTTTGACTGATGTGCCTTGCAGTCCATTTGACAGGTCTAGAGCACATTGCCACCACTTCATTTAGTGTGTGGAAATGTGTCGGAGATGCCACAGTGACAGCTGCAGACCCAAAGGCGATGGGGAGAATCAGCGCTCATCCCGAGGTTCAAGATCAGGGTTAGAGTCAGGTTGCAGCATAACACCAGACAAACAAGGTCTCCGTGGCCCGATTATGTCAAAATAATGAGGATTATCAGCGCAGCAGAGAACTGGAAATATGAAAAACTATTTGTGTTTAGGTTGTTAAAGTGGATTGATTTTATGTCTGCAAATGGGGGCTTACTTCAGTGGGTTCATGAATCGAGGAAAGCTAATAGAGTTATCAACTTAAAAAAAAATAAAAAAGTAACACAACAATCCCAAACCTTCCACTATTATTACTGTTACTTTTTTATATGGCACAAACATGGTGCAGGTTACAGATTTAGGGGCATGCTTGTCGTGGTCGAAAGTAAACAGGGTTGGGGAGATGCGGAAGAAAGTGCAAGTGAACAGCGGGGGAGGAGGGCGGTTGAGGAGGGGAATCAGTAAAATGAGGTGCCGGATCAGATTTTAGTGGTGCTGGATCCGGATTCGTGTTCTGGCACAAATTAAGCCCTGCAGATACAACGAATTATATAGCTCATTGTTTCCCAACCCTGTTCCCGAAGACACATCAATAGTCTACATTTTAATCAAACACACTTGAATCAGAACATTAGATGAGACTCCAAAACCTGAAGTTAATGACTCAGATAAGGGAGGCCTCAAAATATATAATGTTGGCGTGCCTCCAGGAACAGGGTTGGGAAACACTGATATAGGTACTTATCTTTTGTTTTGCTTTTTATTATTTTTTATCATGTGATAGAGTTAAACGATATTAAACAATAGAGTTTTTTTTGTCCATATTACCGTAAGTGCAAAATATAATATTGATTTATACCACAGTTAAATAAATAAATGTATATTTAAGAGAAAATATGGTCCCACTTTATATTAAGTGTCCCTAACTACTATGTACTTACATCTAAAAAATAAATGCAATGTACTAACTGTGTTTATAATGTATTTGAGAACACTTGTGGTGCTTTTGAGTTGGAATAGAGGTTGGGTTATGGACAGGTTTGTTGGCATGGGTAGGTTTAAGGGTAGGTTAAGGTGTAAGGGATGGTCAACAGTGTATTTACAAATGTAATTACAAAAGTTAATTATAGATGTAATTACATACATGTATTTAATCAAGCATAAGTACACAGTAAATACATGTATTTACACAATAAGTACATTGTAACAAACTATTAATTCCTATGTAAGTACATATTAGTTAAGGCCACTTAATATAAAGTGGGACCGAAAATATTTATCATTTTAGCAAATTTTGCACCCCAAAAAGAGTTTGCCCCAAATGTGTTTACCTAATGCGTTTCCAATCAACAAATGAGGTGTTTTTATTCAGCTATGATTGGTCCATTCATAAAGAAAACCATTTGCTTTGGTGACATTCTTACATGGGGTGACATTGGGGGGCGAATTATTCTGACTTCAACTGTATGTGCATCTTGATGTTTCTATTAAGCATTTTTAAATAATAATCTATGGATTGGTCTTCCACTTTGATTAAGTCTCCCCTAACCTTCTGCTCTGGTGTGTCTCCTTCAGACCAGCCGTTGCATCACTCCTCTGCAGAAGTGTGGCCTCACACCTACGTCTCCCAGGGCCTTTACTGTCTCTCCTCCTCCGATGCCTGGGAGCCAATCAGCAACGAGCCCTCGGGCGTGGCTTCTCCCGCCGCTGGCTCTTACATCATGGCGGGCGGGGCTTCGGGTGAGGGTTTTGATGGCCACTATCTGACACAGCAGCAGATGACGCTACAGCAGCAGAACCACTTCCAGCAGCTCCAACAGTATCAGCAGTACCAGCAGCAGCAGCTCCTGCAGTACCAACAGGTCAGAAAGCGCACACGCTGCCATGTTAACACGCTCACACAAACACCACAGAGCTGTTTTAGTACTTCTACTTGACCTCTTTTAGCCAGGTGTCATCTACGCGGTGGCGCTGTAGGTGGTCTTGCTGTATTGAGAGAAAAAAAGGGTGATTGAGTGCAAGAGTAAGTTCTTGTGGTATGCTGTGATTTTCTGGTGAATAAAAATACAGCGGGGAAAGTAAGTGATGACGTCATGCATTTTCCTGGGAATAATATTTATAAAGGAGCTGCTAACATGGAATTGAATGTTTAATAACAATGAAATGACACCAGGAGAAAGTGCTGAACTACTAAAATGTATTTAATACTTTATATAAAAGGCTGTTTGGGTGATGGCAGCTTAAAGACACCTCTCATATGGAGAATGAAGTCATGCATTGCTCAGGTGTGATTTCCACAGAATTGAACAGTGTAAATATCTTGTTGATTCTGTGGGTCTCATCTATCAAATCTGATCTTTATTTTGTATTTTCGATTGGATTCAGATCAGGTGATTGGCTGGGCCATTCCACCGCTTGATTTTCTTACTCTTAAAGCATTTGAGCGTTTCCTTGGCTGTGTTAGATCATTGTCTTGCTGAAATGTCCACTCTTGCCAGGTTTCTCCAGTCTTGTTAATTCTTGTTTTGGTGGCAGAGTCCAGACACTAGTCCTGTCATGTCTTGTATGTTGTGCTTGGCTCAAGTTTTTTTTGGGTCAAGGACTTATTTTCTCTCATTGGGCGTCTTTGTATGAGCGCAGCCTTGGCTACGCTCAGGCCGTGCACGCTTTGGCTTAATGCATGGATGTGCGAGGTCTGGGCACGCTCAGCATTCTCGTCCTAGTGTTTTGGTTTCAATTACGGTTGGCACCAGAGATGGAAAGTAACGAAGTACAAATACTTCATTACTATACTTGAGTAGATTTTTCTGGTATAATTTACTCCACACTTATCTTTCTAACAACTTTTTACTTTTACTCCTTACATTTTTACACAAATATCAGTAGTTTCTACTCCTTAAATTTTTAAATCGGGTTTGTTACTTTCGTTTTAATGTTTTGTGCAGCCTGATCTCACGAGAAAACGTAAGTATTGTACGTTTTGACAGTTTAGTGGCTGATTTGTACGAGTTCACTCGTAAGAAAATGTACGATTTTAAAAAGGAGGCGTGGCATTAAACCCCACCCCTAACCCCAACCGTCATTGGGTGATGAGCAAATCGTACTATATTGTACAAATTAGATCTAACTAATTCATATGAATTAGCCACGAAATCAAAAAGTTACGAATTGTCGTGAGATTGTGTTGGTTTTGTGGCACGACCTATATTATTTCTTATTATACATTATTAAATGTTTAGGACCGTATAAATTCAATAAAATATACACAATACTCCGTAAATAAATATACAAAACAAAAAACAATTAGTGAAATCATATGAGCTGCAAGAGTGTGCTGTTTGCAGAAAATAAAGCTGCGTTGACATAATGCAAAACAAATATTTGTAATCAAATACAATAATTTTGTTTATTTTATCAAAGGAAAACCCTGAAATATGTTTTGAATAAAATGAAATTAAATTTAAGACATTTATTAGATATAAATATATAGAAAGAATTAAGTTTTAGAATATATGAACCACTATGGCAGCTGTTGTTCTTAAACAAGTTAAGTTTTGTGTCCAGGTGATGACACAGAGGGCAACTTTTTGAGCAGTGTTGTTTGACAATATTGTGGAGTGATGTTGGTTGGCTAGTTTGCAGCTGAAAATACAATAAAATATATAGAAATGCGAGTTATTTTGTATAAATTTATACATGATGTGCGGTGGGGTTACCACCGTGAAACTAAAACATGTAGTAGTAATAAATACTGTTTACTTGAGTACATATTTCAGGCCGTACTTCTTTATTTTTACTTGAGTAAAAAAAGTGTAGTCAGTACTTCAACTTTTACCAGAGTCGTTGTAAGTATGAGTATATACTTCTACTTGATTAAAGGATGTGTGTACTTTTGCCATCTTTGGTTGGCACTGGGATAAAATATATGTGCATGGCATGTGTGAGTGCACGGTAAGTGTTTTAATTTATCGTGTACTCGTGTCTTGCGTTTAGTCTTCTGTTGTTGTTGTGTTTAGCACGTGGTTCATGTCTACAAGAGCCGCCTGCTTTAGTGTTGTTTCATGTGAACATGCAGTTAATGAGTTCTCTCATTGGCTGCGTGTTCTAGTCCCGTTTTACGTGAGCACATGGCTTGTGTTGTTTCTTTGTGATATGTGCTCTCCCATCTATTGTCTAGTCCTACCCTCCTTGTTAACCCATTATTAGTTTATTATGTTCCACTGTTTGTTTGTTAATTAGTTCTGCTTATAGTCTCCCCATGTCTGCTGCCCTGTGCCAGTTCGTTGTCATATGTTGCCTTGTCCTGTTGTGTCCAGCCCTGTCATCCCAGTTTGTTTTTTTGTTAATGTTTTCCCCTTCGGGGTAGTTTGTTTTGCTGTACATTTTATTTTATTATTAATAAAAATCCCTCATTTAGTTTTGCACTTGAGTCCTCATCCTTTCCTCACCACCAACCGTGACAACTCTGGTTTCATCTTTATCATTCTAATAACATAAATGTTGAACTAAAACAGTTCATATTCATTTACAATGACAAAGAGCAGGAGGTTGCTGTAGAACTACAGAGAGATTTCAGCTGCTGTCTGGGCTTTCACTACCACTCAACACCTCTCTTGTTTCATGTGTTCAATACTTTTTTCCAGCGTCATTTTATTTTATTACACATAACTAGGACCACACGGAATCTGCGCACGCAGAAATCCGCAGCTTTTTAGTCCATCGTTGAGCCTGTTTATTTAGATGTGTGTAAATTTATATTTATTCACTTTTTAAATTAATTTCAGTAATATTACTGACTAAAATTGAAATATTCATATGATTTACTTGAACTACAGCTTGTAAAGTAATAATTTCTGTCTTTTAGTAGAGATATGGTAGATTTATCATATGAGAGACTGCTTTGTTCACCAAATAAATGGATCTAATTAGATTTGCATTGTAAACATTAAATAAGTTAAAAATGTATTATTTTTTATTAAACATATTAGGTTTTTAGGTACGGTACTCCCAAAACCATTCCGCATAATTCAGCAGATTTTTATTTACCATATTCTGCGCAGAAATAGCAAAAAATGTCACCAAATTTTGTCTGGCCCTACACATAACTTTCTTTGTAAACTAATTAGATTTGTTTTCTTAGCAAATATGGATTTCTTTAGTTGTACCAACATCCGGGGAAAATTTCAAGTCAACAGCACCATTACAAATATGTTTTCTGAGGAAAATGGTGAAGTGTTCAATACTTATTTCCCCCGCTGTTAATGTGATTCACTTAATATTAGAATCTGGAGCATCTGTAGGAAAACAATAAGCATTTAATTGACTGTTTTCTATGTTTTGTATTCATATTAATTCTCTTTAGTATTTATGTAAGCAAATATACCCATTTTTATGCGCATTTTAAGATACACTGAGTAGAAACACTAAGATGAGCATAGATTCTAAACATGCACATGATAATGCGTTTTTAATCCGATAAGAATATGCACATGGAAACACATCTACGGAATACATTATTAGATGCACATCAAAAGGGATTTTGCCTTCACTGATTGAAGAACTAAGTTGATTTCAATTAAATGTGTTCTCACAAAATCTTGAATGTTTTTCAAGTAAGTGCAAACACCTGAAGCCCATGCTCAAAATTGTTTTGTACAATTACCTCCTAGGACTGTTTGACACCATCATTTTCCAAATGTCAAGCGCTAACCACTGAAAGCAGCTGTGTCGTCTGCTGCTCTGCTTATTTACTATGGAGGAAAAAGAAATAAAGTGGTTTCTCAGCTTGCAGAAATGATTACTTTTGTTATTTATATAATCGCAATAGTTTTCAGATGGTTTTATCTTGGAAATGTTCCCAATGCGATATTGTATTTTGCATATAGAGTACATTTGAAGGAGAGCAACATGGCAGCGCATTGATCGGATGTACCTATTCACGCTCCTACAGCAATCGAGAAATTCACTTTTGAACAGCCACGAACTGAAAGTAAATTTGACTGTTAATGTAAATTTATATGATTGTAAATGATTCTTCAGATAAATCCATTGTCCTATCATTACTTTACACCAGTCAAGATCCCTAACTGTTTTCCTCACGTTTTCTCTTGTAGTCTTTGGAGCACCGACTGCACAGCGCCTCCCATTCTTTACAAGCCACGCCCAACAGCACTATTCACAGTTTGGGTCCGCCCACCCACCCGCGATTGGCTGACCTGTGGGCGGCGGCTCAGGTGGAGCCCCATCAAGTGGAGATGTTGGGACACATGGGGGCCACCATGGCTGAAATGGGAATGGCAGAAGTGTATGGCGAGGAGCCTGTTTTAGAGACCGAATGCATCCCGGAGCAGCAAGAGGAGGAGGAAATCAAGGTGAGATATCAGACTTTTACATCCATCACCACTTTTATGCCAATATTATATTATTTAAAACAATTCTTATTTTGTTTTGGAGGTCTCCTAGAATAAGTTTACTCATTTCAAGCAGTTCAGAATTGGTTCGTCATTTTTGGAGACAATAACCCTTATTTTTTGTGCACTTTAAAACTAAGCAGACCTTTCGCCTTAAGAAATAGCACTTTAGCAACTGATTTTTGTCTTTTTGGAGGAGGATACATCCATCCAAATTAAAAAAACAAAACACTTTAATATCCTTTTTATATACATTGGAGCATCACTTCTCTTCTCATAGTGGTTCAAGCATTTACTCTCTTTAAACTCCTCTTTTGAAGTGCGTACTCTGCTCTGATTGGTCAAAAGTCTGTTGTGATTGGTGTACAGCTTACAGAGGGTATCAAAAACTAAGTGGCCATTACTGCACTGTAAAAAAAATGCTGGGTTCTACACAATTCCCTCATGTTGTCCCAACACAAGTTGATTAAGTTAACCAAATTGCTTCAACAAACTTAAGTGAATTGAACATAAAACAATTAAGTTGTGTCAAAAAAAACAAACAAAGAAAAAAAACAAGAATTGTGTTGTTTTGGCTCATTTTAAATAAGTAGAAAAAAAAAAGTTTTTTGAGTGTGTATCTGAATTTTGGGAACATTGGCTGCTCTGAATTTCCAGGAACCACCCAAGTAGCCATGTGACTGACAAGTAAAGCAACCAATCACATATCGTTTTCTGCTGAGAAATGTTTAAATGTCTCCTACAACAGTAGTCTCCAACCTTTTTCTCACCGCAGACCAGACAACACTTGACAATTTTTCCACGGCCTGGGTGGTGGGGGTTAGTAATATGGGGTGGTGTACGTAGTTTTCTAGGTGACCATCAACCGCTCCCTCAGAGGATGACAAGCTGACAAAACATTGCTGCAACTCTGATATAAGTTTAATTCATATAGAAAATTTAAAAGCATTGGGTGTTTGTCTGAGATATTTAGTCTACCGAAACGTGTATACTCCATACAAAATATGAAGCTTATCGGTCAGTTCTTGTCATGTGACTCGCAGTGCATTCGTGCCATTGTGAAGATGGTTTTAACTCGGTGAGCCTGGAAGGCGCATCGCCCACAATATGCATGCACAAGCTGCACTCCTTGATTAGAAATATTAGAAATAACTTGCATGCGGAAAACGACCACCATCATTTTCAATCTGTAACAGGCAGGGTGGATTCACCGGATTTGTTTACAAATGGGTTGCGGATTTATTTGGTAGTTTCTGTGTTGTTTACTGGCCCTTTTTCCCTAAGCAAAGAAACTTTCCAAAGGCATCTGTTTCTTACTTGTTTTGCTACTATGTGGGTTAAATTTTACTGCTCAAATCCCTGAGATTTAACAGAGAGAATAAAAGATCATTCAGACTGAAATAATTAATAACACAAAAATAATTAATGATTTCTTCTGCAGCCCAGTACCAAGTGATCCACGAATTGATACCGGTCCAAGGCCCTTGGGTTGGGGACCATTGCCCTACAACAGATAGGTGTGGAACCAGTCAGTCACTGATTCACAAGTGCCTCAAGAATTGACAAAAAAAACAACTTAATCTTAACTCGCATGAAATTAAACATTTTGAACACAAAAAATAATATCACTGGGAGAATTTAATGATTTTTATGGTGTAATATGGATTAACACAAACATCTACACAAAAAAAATGCATCTGAGCCAAGAAAACCATTACTTAACTTTGTACAACATATCGTTGACAGCCATGCCAAACAGATGCTCCTGATAAACTTCTGTTTGGAGAATATCTCTCCACTTTTTAACTCAAACAAGCAGTTCTGTCCAACTGAAATGTCAGCATCTGCTCTTTATTTTTTGCCAGCTTATGTAGCTGTTATCCCTTTTGCATTTAGGTATTTTATTTAAACCTTGCCAGATTGTCAATCTTGATGAATTCTCACTGTGTCACTAATGTAAACACTAGTCTCTTCTTGGATCACATGGTTTTAACCCTTGTGTGCTGTTGGGGATGTTTTCATCCATTCTGGGGTGATTTTGAGTCTTAATTTGGCCTCAACTTTCTGTTTCTGGGACAAATCTTATTTTGACACATATTTTAGAAAAATGCTTTGAAAAAAAAAAAAAATTAGTAAACATATTGGGCCCTATCATACACCAGGCGCAACAGGGTGCAAGATGAGTTTTATGTGATTTGTTGCTATTTTTAGACCAGCGCAACCCTAATTTTTACATTTTGTGCCATGTTTTTTTTAAATAGTACATCCATTTGTGCCACTTTTTGGACTCTAAAAAGGAAGTGTGTTAAGGTGCATTGTTATCGCATTACTATTTTGAAGAACTGAATCCTAGACTGCGCCATTGACCAACTAAAAGCTGCTTTAAAGTCCAGTGCAGAGCGCTTTAGTTCTGGGCCTATCTGGTCCAAACACTTACACATTGCCTAATACACACTGGATGTACAGCAATGCACAAATATATATTTACAAATGAAAAAAATTAAAGAATTGAATTGTTACAAAAATTATTTTCTACATAGATATAAAAACCACTGCCTTCATCTCAGGGGGCTTTTTTCAGTCTATTTATGACAATTTGCATTTTGTATAATGTTATTATTAGTATGAGTGTTATTTATTATGTCTACATTTATATGTGTTTTAATAAAAACAAGTTTAGATTAGTCCATCTGTCGAGTTTTGGAGACGTATGCATAATCATATGGGGCATAAAAATATGACGTGTGCTTGGACATATCTAATTTTTATCATCGTTTTCTGACCACACTTCGTTGTTATTGTTCATTTACTCATTTGGTTGAAATTAGAGCTGATTTCAGAAATAGTTTTGAAACAAATCTTTACACTTAAACAAAATCAAATATGTAGGATGTCTTCAGTAGAGTGTGTACAACACCTTAACCAGGAAAGTAAAGTAAAGAGTAAAAGTACAATAAAGAGAAAGTAAAGAGATCAAATGAAGGAGGCTTGTTCTTTATTCTCACGCTGCAGATGGTCTGTTTAACTGTTTTCTTGCTAATGAAGTGTTCAGTTTTTCCCCTTACAAAGTCTGCCATGTAAATAGCATATGCACCATGGTGCGATGCAACTGACTCTTTCGCCCCATTCACATGGGGCTTCAGCGTCAACGCTTGATTGAAGGTGTGTCTGAAGTTGGGGCTGCCACGATCGTCATAGCAGCGTCAGCCAATGAAATTCAGTCAGCAATAGGCCACTGTCAAGCTGGTGTATTTGCATACAGCAATCTGATTGGCTCAGAAGCGTTTCTGTCAGCGCTTGAAAAGTTGAACTAGTCCCAACTTCTGTAATGAGCAACGCCTCTGAAGCGGTGCTAATGGATCCACAATGCAGTTTGGCAACGCCTGACTTCACCCATTCAAAGTGAAATGACGCTGAAGCCCCGTGTGAATGGGGCGTTAAAGAGAGATGAGACTGATTGGTTTAATGGACATTATGCTCAAAACTCACCCATAACACATTGAGAGAATAAGCACTACTCTGTTAGACCTTGCGTTGGGGCGCAAACCGTATTTTCCCATCCTTAAAAAAAGCAGAAGTGGATTCGGAGACGCCCTTAATGATTTTTCACCCTGCGATTTTGACTTTGTGCCTTGATTGTTAAAATAGAGCACAGTATATGTATTTATGCACATACACTGCAGTTTTACTCCATAGAATGCCTTTCAAAAGTCGGAAACAGCTGTGCTGATGAGATGAACACCCAGAAAACCAGACTGCTTCTCCATGACATTGGGATACAGATGTGATACAAGGTTATATCAAAGAACTGCAAATAAGAAGATAATAGAACAATTTATCAATGAACACACACCTCATTCTCTCGCTGTCCACGGCCTGTGCTTTGCTGATCAAATGAAAACCAAAAGATGGGGAGGAGCTAAATTCTGCCGCCGTTTTCGTATCAAATTTAAAGGGGATTGAGGAGATAATTCAGTGTGCAGTTTATGAGCTAATCGCAAAAGTTTTAGAGGGCTGAGTAGAAATATAGGGGGGCTACAGCCCCTAAATAGGCCTAGCAACGCCCATGCACAAGGGTTAAAGAATACAATTCAGCCAATAAGCAAATGAGGTCCCACTTTATATTAAGTGGCCTTAACTAATATGTACTTACACAGGAACTAATAGTTTGTTACGATGTACTTATTGTGTAAATACATGTATTTACTTGATTAAATACATGTATTATGCTTGATTAAATACATGTATTATACTTGATTAAATACATGTATGTAATTAAATTTGTAATTAAATTTTGTAATTACATTTGTAAAAACACTGTTGACCATCCCTTACACCTTAACCCACCCTTAAACCTACCCATGCCACCAAACCTTTCCAAAACCCAAGCTCTATCCCAACTCAAAAGCACCACAAGTGTTCTCAAATACATCATAAACACAGTAAGTACATTGTATTTATTTTTTTGATGTAAGTACATAGTAGTTAAGGACACTTAATATAAAGTGGGACCCCAAATGACTTTTAATTAAGCAGTTTTACTGTTTTAATTGTAATTGGAGCATATTATGAGTTCTTATCCTTTAAAAGACTGAAACAAAAGAGATCTCAACTGCAGCTGACATTAAGCAAATGTATTACAAACCTATGTAGGGTTGTGCAGGAATTAAGGCTGGACTTTCAGAGCTGGTTCTTTTCATTTGGGAGACAGTAACCCCATTTTTTGTGCGCTGAGCAGACCTTTCGCAATGAACAAATAGGACTTTGACATCAAGTGATACTTATTCTGTCTTTCTGAAGGAGGATGACATAACGCTTACCCTTGAACCTGAATTGACCTCCGTCACCCCCGCTCTGACCCCTCCGCCCCAGCCCCAGAGAGAGGACTCCACTCCGCCTGCAGGCCTGAGCCCGGGACAAGCACCAGCAGAACCCATGGCTGAGCACATCACCTACGATGTCACATCGTGCGTCGTCCAATCGCTGGAGGAGAAGGAGGAAGAGGTGGAGGATGGGGCTATGCTTGTTGTGGCAACCAACTGACGGAGCGAGGAACAAATAAACCCAAACTGTCTGTGAAATAATCAACCAGTTAAGCTATTGTATACGCCCTTTTACCCCAGATGTGTACTCGTACGGACTGTCACATCAGGATCTATTTGTTATTAAACGCTGAAGGAATACGCTCTCAAAGCGCCGGGCGCATATAGAGACTAAATATGGAAGAGCGTCAAAGCCCAGGATGACGCATCATATGTGCTGCTGCTGCTGCATCTGCTGATTTACGATGGGAGCGCTGGAATTCGAGGCCACTTGCAAATCAAGAGTGCAATACTGAGAAATCAATACAACCAAAAGAAAGTGCATGCATTTTTTGGGGAGGGAAGGGGAGTATTTAAGTGACTGAACAGTACCCACATAGTAATAATACATATATTGATTTTTGTAATAAAACTAAAAGCCAATGAAACATGATGTATTTGTATGTATATATTACATGTATGTACTGTATGTATGTATGTTAGTATGAATGTATGAATGTATGCGTCTTTAAAAGGTATATCCTGGAAAAAAAAATGTTACGAATTTGCCGTTTGCGTGAAGTGTCCCCTATGTACCTCCACACACACACGCACACACACACACAATCACTTAAGGACCGTTTACACCAAGAATGAAAACTATAAGTGCAATTTTAAATCCTCAAGCTTTTTAAAGCAAGATTTTTACGTTTAGAATGATTACTAATACTAAAGCATTATTGTTATTGTTAAAGTCGTCCTACTGCAATACGATAACGACAAACTTAACGATTACTATTTGTACGTCCCCATTATTTCTTACAAGTGTACATTGCAGTTTTGTCAATGTTATTACTTGATTGTATGGGCGTTATCAATGTTTATTAGTTAATATATAGGGCCAATTGGGGACTTCTGCACCTACTGGTAGGCATAGAAGACTGTTCTCATCCATCCACATGGTTAATCAGCTATAGATGACATATGGCTGCTAGCAGAAGTTGCGAATTATTTATTAAATTTCGCATAAATTGTATATTATTAACATCTACCCCCACCCTAAACCCAACCATCTCAGTAATAAGAACACTGATCTGAAGTCTTCTCTATTAGTATAGCTGATTAACCATGTGGATGGCTGATAACAGCCTTCTGAGCCTACTTGTAGGCGCAGAAGGCCCCTACTGGCCCAAATCTATCAGTTGATAATCACTGATAAGTGAATGATAACATTCGAAGCGGGTGGTTTTGTCGTTAAAGTGATTCCAATTACATAATTTAATGATTAAAGTGTGGACTTTTTTTTGCATTTAAAACTGTCACTATGTAACAATTTATGTTATATAAGCAACTGTTTAGGCGGCACAGTGGCTCAGTGGTTAACACTGACACCTCACAGCAAAAAGGTCGCTGGTTCAAGTACCGGCTGGGTCAGTTGGCATTACTGTGTGGAGTTTGAATGTTGTCCACGTGTTCGCGTGGGATTTCCTCCTGGTGCTCTGGTTTCCCCCAGTCCAAAGATATGCTCTTTAAGTGAATTAAATAAACTAAATTGACTGTAGTGTATGAGTGTGAATTCCCAGTACTGGGTTGCGGTTGGAAGGGCATCTGCTGTGTAAAACATATGCTGGAATTGTTGGCGGTTCATTTCGTTGTGGCGACCCCTGATAAACAAAAAGGACCAAGCCAAAGGAAAATGATTGAATGAATTGTTTATAATAAGCATGCACCACAGTTCTTTAGAGAAAATAGATCACTATTTTCTATTAAATCCCAAAAACATTGCATGAATTTACATGACAACACTGTCATAAATCATAAACTTTTGAAATTAGGCTACAAAAGACGTGCTTTTAAAAACAATGTCATTGTCATCTCTGTGTCAGCTACAAAAACAACGCAAAGTTGAGAAAATGTCAGATGCACATCTAGAGGCAAAAATAGATTCTTTTTAAAAATAACATTATCAATTAACATACGAAACAACAAAAATGGACTACGAGTACATTTGGGATTTTCTATTTACTTTCTTTGCACATTTTTTCCAGCATGTGCAATAGACAGCCTGATCTCACGAGGAAATGAAATTATCTTATGTTTTGTGGCTAATTTGTAAGAATTCGTACAAATTCAGTCATACGGAAAGTCAGTCGTACGATTTTAAAAAGAAGCCGTGGCACCAAAACTTCACCCCTAAACCCAAACGTCATTGGGGGTTGAGCAAATCATACTAAAATGTACAAATAAGGTTTATAGGAATTAGCTACTAATTCAAAAAGTTAAGAATTGTCGTGAGATTGCTTTGTTATACACCATGTTTGGTGTTTTCCCAGTTCAGTCAGAGTATCTTTTGGTCATTGGATTTTCATTTCAAAAACGAGTTTTAAAAAACAAAAATGAGCGTTTTTTGATTTTAGTTATAAAATTCAAAAATTAAAAAAATGAGGTGTTTTTCTTTTTAATGGTGAAAAACGGATAAGTAAAATTTAACATGATTTGATCTTTATTTTTTATTTTGGATAACAAAAAATAAAATCACCAGAAAATAATTAAAGTCTTGTTTTTTTTATATTCTAACACACAGTATTTAAATTTTCGTTTTTATTTTAAAACAAAAATAAAAAACAACCTCAAGTTTCGTTTTTTCAATAGCGGTTTCTAACATGAAAATCCAATGACCAAAAGATACACAAACACAGTTCCATGATATCGTCAGTATGCAATAACTTTTTAAAAAGCTTCCATTTTTAAGTATATCGCTTCAGTGTAAACACCCTTGGAATCGCATTTTAGAACTGTTTCTTCGTTGTTATAGCTATTTTTCTTGGTGTAAATGAGCCTTAATGCTGTGTCTACACTGGATGCAACAAATGCGAAACAAAAAATTTAACGAATTAAAATCAGGATGCAACTAAACAAAATCTCCAACTGTAATAAACCACGACTCGTTAAATTTCAGATGTACTCCTGATGTACTTTGCGTAAATTTTTGCATCAGCTGTGGACACATTTTTACACATTTTCACACACACACACACATCCATACACACACACTGAAAAAAAAAACATGTTTTTGCTCTTAATATAACCAAGCACAATACTGCCCAAATGAAAACAGTGCTGCCCTTTTCAACATCCTAACTGTATTGTTACTAAGACTTATGCACTACTATGGACATAAACGAATGTACTGCTCATCTTCTTTAGTGACAGCTCAGTTCTGTCCTCCTTTTTTTCATTTCTACTTCATTTTTTTTGGTCATCGATGTCTATGTTTATTTGTTTGTGTATACTGCCTGGCTGAGCTGCTCAATATTGATTTGCACTGAACAAAAAGGAAAACTAAGGAGTCATCTTCGTCGAGTTTCATCAATCTTCTCCACGAAAAAAAAAAAAAGAGAAGGAAACTTTTGATCCGTTGAGTCTTAGACTACAGGAAAGTCATCCTGAAGACCACTCATGGATCCAGTCATTTACATTTTTGATGAACTAATCTGTAGGAGCTGAATTGAACCACTTTTTTTTGCTTCATTATAGCTTTTTGAACCCTGTAGCGGACACGATGCAAAGAGACAAACTCTCATTACCTCAGTGAAACGGTGTGGTAATGGGCTAGTTGACATGTTCGGTCACAGTATGTTTTTGTTCACGACAGACCGTATGACTGTGGAAAGAAGTGAAAAAGAAGGTGCTTTTCTGGTTAATGCTTGCAGGCTTTCCACTAATTATTTCATAAGCTGTCATTTAAAAACCCGCTGCAGAAAAAGAAGTGCCCTCAACTACTACCCAGCAGAAACACAATGTCATATGATGTTAGTATTAGGTTAGATTTAGGTTGTCAGCATCTAAGGACAATGTTGTTTTGACGTCCAATATCAATGTGAAATGACGTTGATAACTTTGTTGATTTTAGGTTGTGTTGGAAAGTGACCAAATCTAACGTCGAGCCAACATCATATTGACGTCAAATACATTTATTCATCAGGTATGGCAACCAAATACAACATCTGATAGACGTCATGTTGGTAATGTCCACACAGCACCAAGCTGTAACATCATTAGATGTTGATATTTGGTTGATTTTAGGTTGTGTTGGAAAGTGACCAAAATCCAACGTCGAGCCAACATCTTAAACCAGTCATATTGACGTCAATTGCTGACAGTTACTCATCAGGTTTGGCAACCAAAATCCAACATTTTACAGATGTCATATTGGTAACGTCCACACAATGTCAAGCTGTAACATCATTATACGTTTTATTTGGTTGATTTTAGGTTGCATTGGAAAGTAACCAAAATCCAACATTGAGCCAACATCATAAACCAACGTCTATTGACGTCAAATACTGACATTAATTCATCAGGTATTGCAACCACATTCCAACATCTTTTAGACACCATATTGGTAACGTTCACACAATGTCAAGCTGTAACATCATTAGATGTTGATATTTGGTTGATTTTAGGTTGTGCTGGAAAGTAACCAAAATCCGACATCAAGCCAAGATGTTAAACCAATATCATACTGACGTCAAATACTGATATTTATTTGTCAAGTATGGCAACTAAAATCCAACATCTGATAGACGTCATATTGGTAATGTTCACACAATGTCAAGCTGTTACATCATTAAATGTTGATATTTGGTTGATTTTAGGTTGTGTTGGAAAGTAACCAAAATCCGACATTAAGCCAACATCTTAAGCCACGTCATATTGACGTCAAATAATGACATTTATTTGTCAGGTTTGACAACCAAAATCCAACACCTGATAGACGTCATATTGGTAAGATTCACACAAGTCAAGCTGTAACATCATTAGATGTAGATATTTGGTTGATTTTAGGTTGTGTTGTAAAGTAAACAAAATGCGACATCAAGCCAACATCTTAAGCCACGTCATATTGACGTCAAATAATGACATTTATTTGTCAGGTGTGGCAACCAAAATCCAACACCTGATAGACGTCATATTGGTAACGTCAAGCTGTAACATCATTAGATGTAGATATTTTGTTGTTTTTAGGTTGAGTTGGAAAGCCACCAAAATTCAACGTCGAGCCAACATCTTAAACCAACATCACATTGACATCAAAAACAGACATTTATTCGTCAGGTACTGTATGGCAACCAAAATCCAACATTTGATAGAAGTTATATTGGTAACGTTCACACAATGTCAAGCTGCAACATCATTACATGTTGATATTTTGTTGATATTAGGTTGTGTTGGAAAGTGACCAAAATCTAACGTTGAGCCAACATCTTAAACCAACATCATATTGACATCAAATACTGATATTTATTCGTCAGGTATGGCAACCAAAATCCACAATCTGATAGACATCATATTGGTAACGTCCACACAACGTCAAGCTGTAACATCATTAGACGTTGATATTTCGTTGATTTTAGGTTGCATTGGAAAGTAACCAAAATGACGTTGGGTCATTTTGGGTTCTGACATCAATCCGATTTTCATTTCCAAACAAAATTCAGCGTCCCATGACGTTAGGGTACAACGTCAATCTGACATCATGTTGACGTCCTGTGCCTGCTGGGTAGTGTGCACATCTCAAAAACATTTGTCGACACTTGTATGTGTTCCAAAAGAGAGTGAGAGAATAGAAAAATAATATTTTGGGTGTGGCAACATTAACATCAGATTTAGATTTAGAAGCTGTTTGGTTTCGCAATGATTTCTACTCTCTGCTGATTTTGAGGGTTTGGATTAACGCTGTTATGCAATGCTGAGGCAACATTTATTTTTCTATACTAACGAGGCCTGCGAGTTGCCATTCTTGTGATATTTTGAACATCTTACGACTAAAGAAGAGTCTCATTTTCACAGGTCTAATGGTTATATTTAGATCGGAATTAGAGCAAAATGATTGCATTATTTGGGAAATACACTCTCAGCATCTAGAGCTCTAATGTCCAAAGTTTGGCGACACTAATAGCTGACAGCAATGACGTTACAAGGTCATCATTTTCTGTCAAATAAGATGCATTTAGTGCAGAATGGCAAAGAAACGCAGTGAATACTGAAATAAAAAATAAGGGTAGGTACCGATCTTGCAGTTTCTTCAAATCTATTTGGTGTCATCCTGTAACCTCATTCAACTCATGTGCATTTTAATGTGCTGTAAATAAAATACTTATTGTGAAATGCTGTGTCCTTAATTTACGACTGTAGAGATTTATTTACATTAATGTGTTCATATTTGGATAACCTTTTACTATTTCATTGAATCGCACTCTTACACAACCATGCTTAAAGTAATTTTAACAAAAAGTATGCGCAAATAAAGGTTTTATTACATTTAATTTATTTAACTATTGTTAAGCCCTGGATGAGGCGACGCAGTGGCGCAGTAGGTAGTGCTGTTGCCTCACAGCAAAAAGGTCGCTGGTGCAAGCCTCAGCTAGGTCAGTTGGCATTTCTGTGTGGAGTTTGCATGTTTTCCTTGCGTTCGCGTGGGTTTCCTCCGGGTGCTCCGGTTTCCCCCACAGTCTAAAGACATGTGGTACAGGTGAATTGGGTAGGCTAAATTGTCCATAGTGTATAAGTGTGAATGAGTGTGTATGGAAGTTTCCCAGAGACGGTTTGCAGCTGGAAGGGCATCCGCTGAGTAAAACGTGTGCTGGATAAGTTGGCGGTTCATTCCACTGTGGTGACACCAGATTTATAACGGGACCAAACCGAAAAGAAAATTAATGAATGAATAAGTCCTGGATGATACGATCAAAGTCTTTTCTTACTTCAATTTTTTTTTGTTTTGTTTCAAGTCCAAACTTCTTATGTTGTGTTCACACTAGATACATTACGTGTGAATAAATCACACTTTTCGCACATAAATAGACGCGTAAACATTGAGTTTACACGCTTCATTCCCACGTCAAATTTGCTTCACAATAGACGCGGATTCACAAAATGGGCAGGGCATCTATCTGCCTGGTGACCCTAGCTTCATTGCTAAATGGCTAACTTGAAAATGATTGAGAGTTGCTGTGCTTTATGTGCTTTAGGAAGGCTGAAAACAGCATAGGTTCATTTGGTGGCGTGTCTGAGTCCACTAGATCCTATCTGAGGTGCACCCAGCACTGTCAGTTCATCAACTCTTCCAGAAACTGTACCTGGATGATGGAAGCTATCAGGGGTGCTTCGGACTGAGCCGAGCCCGGTTAATGAGCTGTTGTCCAGTGTCGACAGGAGGAGTTCCCCTCGGGACACTAACAACAGGCACTATGTCATAATCACGCCCCTTCAAGAGCAAGCTCCAAAATTTGTTCAGTTTAGTTTAGTTGGTTTTATTGGTACCCGTAGCTAGCTTTTTTTTTTTTTTTGCAGCTAAGTTTTGTTAACTGATGTCTATTCACATCTTTGCAATGACTTAACACCGCGTCTGGTTTGAACGCACCACTTTTTTCAGTTAAAACAAGCTAAATAATCTACCAATGAGGTACCAATGATCTTATGTCAAAATAAAAAACAAGATTATTTTGTTTACAACATTGGAAGACTATTTAACTTGTTTTGAGGAAATCGTTGATTTCAGGTTTTGGAGTCTCTTCCAATATTCTGATGAGTTGATTCAGGTATGTTTGATTAGGGAAAGGTTGAAAATACATACCATTGGTGTGCCTTCAGGAACAGATTTGGGAAACACTGATCTAGAAAAAGCTTTATGATTTAAGAATGTTTAGATATTTGGACTAGAAAGAAGACAAAAAAATAATCTAAGTAAGAAAAGCATTTATTTCAGTGTGCTTCTGTGTGTTTAAACTCTTCTTCACGCTATTCAGAGTAAAATTAGGAAGCTAAAAAACAATGAGAGAAACATTGAAAAAGCATTCATCTTTCAAAAATTCCTTTATGAATCTGTCAATATCTCATCACGCCAAGAGGGAAAGAGACGAATGAATAAATAAATTAATAAATATGACAAACACAAACAGAAACGGAGGCAGATAAATTAAGTGACTGAAGACACTGAGCTATAATAAATGAACTTTTCACTTAATAATAAGAAGACAGTAGATCACATGAACTAACACAGATTGTTCATAAAGAGCAGAGTCCTTGGTTTAAAGACATGAGAGACACCTGAGAGTGAGAGTTTTGAGGGAAAAGGTTGACAGATGAAAGGTTTCATTAAGAGAAGACAGTGTCCACAATCTGACTTTTTACAAAGTACAAATTACACTCACCGGCCACTTTATTAGGTACATCTGTCCAACTTCTCGTTAATGCAAATATCAGCCAATCACATTGCAGCCACTCAATGCATTTAGGCATGTAGACGTGGTCAAGACGATTTGCTGCAGTTCAAACCGAGCATCAGAAGGGGGAAGAAAGGGGATTTAGGTGACTTTGAACGTGGCATGATTGTTGATGCCAGATGGACTGGTCTGAGTATTTCAGAAACTGCTGATCTACTGGGATTTTCACGCACAACCATCTCTAGGGTTCTCAGAGATAATAGTCTGCAAAAAGAGAAAATATTCAGTGAGCGGCGGTTCTGTAGGTGCAAATGCTTTTTTGATGCCAGAGGTCAGAGGAGAATGGCCAGACTGGTTCCAGCTGATAGAAAGGCAACAGTAACTCAAATAACCACTCATTAAAACCGAGGCATGCAGAAGAGCATCTCTGAACGCACGACACGTCCAACCTTGAGGCAGCACAGGCTCATCAAAATTTGACAATAGAAGATTGGAAAAACATTGCCTGGTCTGATCAGCGTTGATTTTTGCTGCGATATTCGGATGGTAGGGCCAGAATTTGGCGTCAACAACATGAAAGCATGGATTCATCCTGCGTTATATCAAAGGTTCAGGCTGCTGGTGGTGGTGTAATGGTGTGGGGGATATTTTCTTGGCACACTTTGGGCCCATTAGCCCATCTATGCCATGAAAAATGAAGGCAGTTCTGAAAGCAAAAGAGAGTCGAACCCATACTAGTAAGGTGTACCTAATAAAGTAGCCAGTGAGTGGATAAGGGCAAAAGAGAAAATGTTTCATTGAAATGTTCTGAAAATATGCCACCTGCTGGACACTATTTGTTTGAACAACTATAGCCGTGAAATGTTCCTTCAATTTCTTCTTTAGCTCATAAAATAAAATACTTCCTTCATAATCTTCCTTCATCATCTCTTCCTAACATTTAAAGTTATGATCATTTATATTCATTTTCATTTGAAGTGAAACCAAAGTATATTTTAAAGGTTACTGAGGAGAAGACAAATATTTGACAATCTCATAGCATGTTTTATGATATATATGACTTTTTTTTTATTATTAATGATGTTTTTTTTTTTACAAAAGAAAAAGGGTAGGAAGAGAAAAACCCGGTAGAATTTGAAGATTTATTTACAACAAAATAAAATAAAATAGAAAGAAATAAACAGGAAATAAAGAAGGGAACATTCACAGAATTTCTTAGAGGAAGAAGATTAGTAAGAGAGCACTTTCTTCTTTACATTTTTTTATAGAATGAAAAAAAAACAACTCAAACTTTTCTTCTTTCTCTAAAATTGTCAGCCTGTTTTCACGAAGAGGAAAAAAAGAACTAAAAACTACTCACAGAAATGTTTTAACAGAAAAAAGCAGGAAAAACTAAAAGGAGATCAAGGGGACATCCTAAAACTCTGAAACGACAAAAGTAAAAAAAACAAAAAAACAAAACAAAAAAGAGTTATATAAAAATCTCACCTCAAAGAAAAGAAAAACAAACGTCACTTGTCTTAAACGGGCTCCTCGCTTTCTTCTTCCTCCTTGTTCTCCGGGACAGCTTGCAGGTTGGAGAGTGGGATAGGGGGTGGAGGCGAGGAGGGCGGCAGATTCGGGCTGCTGTCGCCACTTCCTGCCTCACTGTCACTACTTCCATTCCCACGACTACTGCTACTGCTGCTTCCTGTGGTTGTGCTGCTGCTTTTACCCACAATCACATCCCGCTTCACACCCTCGATCCACACCTCCATCTCCTTCTTATTCTCTTCCACCGGGGCGGGTGGGCTGGAGGAGTGCGAGTGGGAATGAGAGTGGGAGATCACAGGTGGAGACAGAGGTGAGGACGGGGCGGTGGTGGAGACGGGTGAGGATGGAGGAGATGAGGCCTGAGGCTTTGAGGCTTTTTTACGGAGGGTGTCCCTGAAGCTGGCCAGAGGGGGGCGCAGACGGACACCACTGCGTGTCGAGCCCTCGATGGCTTTTTGAAGCTGAGGTAGAAGAAGAGAGAAGAGTTCAAATGTATATTAGCATACCGTTGTTAGCATAAGGATCATAAAGAGATAAAGTGAAAATGGTAATGGTTTATTATTGTGAATGCAACAACTGCTTAAAAAAGGAAACACAGAAGGGAGAATGATGGAGATGGATGGATGGATGGATGGATGGATGGATGGATGGATGGATGGATGGATGGATGGATGAACGAACTGATGGACTGATGGATAGGTAATATGATGTTTGGATGGGTGGTTGGATATACGAGTGGATTTATAGATGGGTGGATGGGTAAAAAGATGGATGGGGAATAGATGGATGAATGGATGGACGGATGGGTGTACTGATGGCTAGATGGGTGGTTAGATGTACAAGTGGATGTATAGATGGAAGAATGATGCATGGATTGATAGATGAAATTTTGGATGGATGGGTGGGTGGAACGGTGAAATGATGAATGGATAGATGGATGAATGGAAGGGTGGGTAGGTGGAAGGGTGAATAGATAGATGGATGTGTGGAAAAGTCAGTTGATGGATGGATTGATGGAAAGGTGTGCTGATGGTTGGATGGATGGAAGGGTGAGTTTATTAATGGATGAATGGATGGGTGAAGGGGTGAATTGATGGATGTACGGATAGGTGGAAGAGTCAGTTGAGGGATGGATGGATTGATGGGAAAGAGCATTGATGAATGATTGGATGAATGGGTGGGTGGAAGGGTGAATTCATATATGGATGGATAGATGAATGGATGGGTGGAAGGGTGAAATAATGGATGTATGGATGGGTGGGTGGAAGGAAGGGTGAATTCATATATGGATGGATAGATGAATGAATGGGTGGAAGGGTGAAATAATGGATGTATGGATGGGTGGGTGGAAGGAAGGGTGAATTCATATATGGATGGATAGATGAATGGATGGGTGGAAGGGTGAAATAATGGATGTATGGATGGGTGGGTGGAAGGAAGGAAGGGTGAATTCATATATGGATGGATAGATTGATGGATGGTGGGTGGAAGAGTGAGTTGATGGATTGATGAAAAGGTGTGTTGAATAGGTGGATGGATGAATAGATGGATGGGTGTAAGGGTGAAATGATGTATGGATGGATGGATGGATGGGTGAAAGAATGAGTTGATGGATTGATGGAAAGGTGTGTTGATGAATGGATGGATGGATGGACGGATGGATAGGTGGATGGGTGAAATGGTGTATGGATGGGTGGAGGGGTAAATTCATGAATGGATGGATGGATGGGTGGAAGAATGAGTTGATGGATTAATGGAAAGGTGTGTTGATGGATGGTTGGATAAATGAATGAATGGATGGATGGATGGATGGATGGATGGATGGATGGATGGATGGATGGATGGATGGATGGATGGATGGATGGATGGATGGATGGATGGATGGATGGATGGATGGATGGATGGATGGATGGATGATTTGATTAATGGCTGGATGGGTGGAAGGGTGAAATGATGGATGGATGGATGAGTGGATGGATCAATGGGTGGGTGGAGGGGTGAATTCATAAATGAATGGATGGGTAGAAGAGTCAGTTAGTGGATTTATAGCAATGTGTGTTAAATGGTTGGATGGATGAATGGATGGAGGGAAGATTTGATTAATGGATGATGGGTAGATGGATGGATGGATGAACAGGTGGAAAAGTGAGTTGATGGATGGATGGATTAATGGAATGACGGAAAAGTGTGTTGATGAATGGTTGGATGGATGCATGGAAAGGTGAGTTAATTAATGGATGGATGAATGGGTGGAAGGGTAAAATGATGTAAGTATAGATGGATTAATGGGTGGGTGGAGGGGAAAATTCATAGATGGATGGATGATGGGTGGAAAAGGGAGTTGATGAATGGATGGATGGATTGATTGATAGAAAAGAATTGATGAATGGATTGATTGATGGAAGGGTGAGTTGATGGATGGATGGATGGATGGTGTGAGTAAAATGATCAGTAGCTGGTTGGATGGGTGATTTTATAGGTGAGTGAGTGCTTGGATGGATAGATGGATGGATGGGTAGATGAAAAAATGAATGTATGAGTGGATGAGTGGATGGATGGATGAATGGATGCATAAATGGAAAAGTGAATAGACGGATAGGAAGGTGAATGAGTATATGGATGGATGGATGGGTGAATGGCCTACCTCTTTCAGCGCCACGACTCCCACTAATTTTCCAGTATTGGTTACATAGGCATGACTGAGGCCCAGTAAAGAAAAAAGTGTGTGTGTCTGTTAGAGAAAAAAAAAAAAGATGCTTTAATTTATTCTACAATATTATTTTCAATGCAGAGCTGCTTTGAAACAACATGTAAAAAGCTCTCCATACTTTACAAAAATATGTGACTTGACTTGGCAAACCTCTCACCTTATGTAGTGAGGTTCTCTCCACCAGCTGAAAGGGTGATGGATCTATTCTGATCTGGTTTATTTCCAGAGGTTTGTCCATTTCACTCTCCTCCCAGGCTTTGATCTGTCAAATGTCACAACCAGGCCTTATTTGACGTATTATAAATTATACTATAATACTGTTTTATTTTAGTAGCGTGTCTGCATTTATAAACCACACAGTGCTAAAAAAAATACAACAAAACCAATATCCCACATTAATAAAAAATCATGCTTAAGTATCTCATTTGACAGTACGGTGGTATTGCTAATACCTGTTCTGGAGTCATTGTGTCGGTTAAAGGTGGAGGATAAGGCTCCTAGAGTGAAGAAATGGCAAGATAATTTAATAATACAAGGCATGGTGCATCTGATTCAGCAATCAACTCATTAAAATTTTAGACTGAGTATTTGCATATTGACACGTTCAATGGAAGACCATTCACTTCCCTTTAACCGCACACGTCCTTGAAAAACACTGATGAATTTTAATGCAGACCATTAGCAATGTATTTGCTCTTCTCATTTTCTCAGCCTTTCATTAAAGTTTCATACAAGCTGACAGTAATTCATTTAGTGCACTCAAATTCACTTGATGTAACACACATACACACACACACACTCTTTTCACAAGAGACCTTTAAACACAAACAATGTACCTGGGGCTGACCTTCTGTGTGTCTTTCCGACGAGGACGAAAATAAGTTACGTAAAAGTCTCCTGAAAGACTGCGAAGGACCCTTATCTAGGCAAGAAGAGGAGAAGAGATAGGAGGGGGAAAAGAAAAAAGCAGGAGGAGGATTACAGGATGAGCATCACTTCTATCGCCTCAAGATGCTTGTTCAGTAGAAGTGCCTGCCTGAGGTTTATTAAGGTTTTAAAGTGGACAGTTCAGTAATGTCTGAGCGTTTCTCACCAGGAGACGTGTGATTGGTGGACGGTTCTGAAGGTTTGGGCGGGGGCACCGGGCCGTTTCTCTCTTCTTGAACTGGTATTGTCTGAACACAAAGAGAGACAAATAGATGGATACATGGACCCACAGAAGGACAGACATACAGGGGTTGGACAATAGCTATGTTTCCATCAAAAGTAGGAATTAAATTTATGCGCATAACTGGAACATCGCATTAAAAGACGTGCGAATGAAAGCATCTAAGTAGTCAAAGAGAACAAAATCCTCACTACCTGATTAACTGGCGGCAAATATCAAAGTACAAATGCAATTTGCTGTGCTATGTGAAGCTGAGTGAATCTTTATTTTATTTACTAAATGACTTGCGCCTCAGAAGACAGTATGTCGCCATGCAATGAACGCATGGTGGTGTTTGAAGGTGTCAGACGTTCACAGACGCTTTTGGCAATTCTGGAGGTAATTAATAATATAATAACACTAATACTGAAGCGGTTAAAGTGTTTTAGAATGACTAAAACAACATTTTAGATGTTTTACTTTGTGCTCACCCTGCTGGTTTGTCAATTTAAGCATATTTTTTATCATCACATGATCTCTTATAACAAAACCACATGACTTTTTTGATGCACATGCTGGAATTTGTTTGGTAAAAGTGTTTCCATTGTAGTTTATTCGCATCTTTTCTTAACGAATAAAAAGTTTACCCTACTCAGTTATGTGCATATGTGTTTTATGCGCATTTTCAAAATTGATGTGCATCTTGGCATTTCCATCAGCGGTTTTTTATATACATATTCAAAATGCGTATAAAAATAGGTGGATGGAAACATAGCTACTGAAACATTGACCAACTGAAACTGAAACATTGACCAATTTAGTGTTGGAGGTTTCATGGCTAAATTTGACCAGCCTGGTGGCCAATCTTCACTGATTGCACATTCCACCAGTAAGAGCAGAATTTCAGGTTTAATTAGCAAACTAATAGCACAGTTTTGCTTAAAATATTGCAATGCACACCACAATACGGAACCTGTCCAACAGGAGTAAGCTGTCTGAAAGGGATCCAGGTTCCAGGTGCTAACCCAGATGCCCAACCACAGCTGCCCAACACATTGCAGATATAAATGTGCACCTCAACTGTGAAAACTGTTCGTCTGGAGCTCCACAAGGTCAGTATACATGGCTGGGTTGCTATAGCCAAACCTTTGCCAATATCAAACATCAGTTTCAATGTTGCCAGCAGCAAAAAAATTGGGCTGTGGACAAGGTGAAACATTTATTGCTCTCTGATGAGGTTACATTCATTGTATTTAGGACATTTGAAAGAGTTACGGTGTAGAGAAGCCCCAAAGAAGTGTACCACCCAGACTATTGCATGACCAGAGTAAAGTATGGTGATGGATCAATAATATCATGGCGTTCCCTAGGCCAGATACTTTTGCTAGATGGGTGCATCACTGCCAGGGACTACTGAACCATTCTGGAGGATCATGTGCACCTAATGGTACAATTGTGATCTTGTAGACACTGATTGGCATGTTTCTGTGTTTTTGAATAGAGTTGGAGCTAAACTATGCAGGACACCGGCCCTCCAGGACAGAGTTTGCCCACCCTTGCACTAGACCATACTAATGAATTATTGTGGTCTAAAAACAGGAGTTTCAGTTTCATTGTCCAACCCTTGTAGGTAGACAGAAAGACAGACAGATAGATAGATAGAAAGTCAGACAGACAGATGATTCTCTTTGAAAATACCTTTTCATCTACATTCTCTTCTTCATCTTCTTCATCTTCATCAACAAAGGCAAAGGATTCCCAGCTGATTTTAGCACAAGGCACTTGACCTTGTGGGCTCTGTCCTTGTATTAGGATCCGCCTCTCTGCTGACAGCCACCAATCACAGAGGGCGAGCAGCTCAGATCTCTCAATGCTCCCCAACAGAATCATAGAATCTGTTGACGATGAAGTGAGTTCAGTCACATATGAGAATGATTTCAAAACCTATATACTTTCAAGATGTGAACAAGTCTGAAGTTCCACAAAGCTGCAATATCATGTTGCTAAGTTAACAGCATGAGGTTGATAGCTCGCTAGGTTCCCGAACAGAGCTTTAGATTGTTTGAGTGGAGGAAAACAAACACATAAAGCCCACCTTGGTGTACTGCATGCAGCTAGAAAAATGTCATAATGAGAGATTCAATCAGACTGAGGAAGTCATCGAGATACCTTTCGAGTCGACCAGTGGGAAGGTTTTTAAAGAGGTCGAGTCCAGCAAATGCAGCACTTCTCTGTATGTAGACTGCGAACATAAAAACTTCACTTTCCTCACCATGATGTCCTCCACAAAGATATTATACTGACTGCAGGAAAACAGAAATTGTATAGTGAGACCGACACTTAAAAATGATGATTAACTAGAGCTGCAGGCCTCCGCTAGATTAAAGATCCGTTCTGACAACTAGGAAAATACAATGCTTACTACAATTAATTCTCGAATAGACGGTTCCCTCAGAAATGGAAATTTGCTGTTAATTTACTCACCCTCAAGCTATCCATTTATGTGACTTTCCTTTCAATAGAACATTAAAGAAGAACTTCAGCTGAATGTTTGGCCTTTGGTGATTCATATAATGAATGCCAATGGCTACTGGCACATAAAACGTAAAAACGAAGTAGTAAATAAACCCTGACAGTGAGGGTGACTAAAGTCACAGCAAATATTCATTAAATCCTTTTAAACTGAACAATAGCGTACTTTTAGCCACATAGTTATGTCAAAATAAATGTATGTATTAAATGTGTTATATAATATAACAGACATACAGTGCATCCGGAAATTATTCATAGTGCTTCACTTTTTCCACATTTTTCTTATGTTGCAGCCTTAAAATTCTACACACAATACACGCCATAATGACAATGTAAAAAGAGTTTTCTTTTAATTGTTGCATATTTATTACAAATAAAAAACCTGAAAAATCACATGCACATAAGTATTCACAGCCTGTGAAGCTCTAAATTGAGCTCAGGTACATTCTGTTTCCACTGATCATTCTTGAGATGTTTCAGCAGCTTCACTTGTAGTAAATTCAGTTGATTGGACATGATTTGAAAAGGCATACACCAGTCTATATAAAGTCCCAGGGTTGACAGTGCATGTCAAAGCACAAACCAAGCATGAAGACAAAGGAATTGTCTGTAAACCTCCGAGACAGCATTGTCTCGAGGCACAAGGCTGGGGAAGGTAACAGAAAAATTCTGCTGCTCTGAAAGTTCCAATGAGCACAGTGACCTCCATCATCCGTAAGTGGAAGATGGAAGTGAAACCACCTGGACTCTTCCTAGAGCTGGCCAGCCACCGAAACTGAGTTATCGGGGTAGAAGGGCCTTCAGGGAGGTGATCAATAGCCTGACGGTCACTTTGTCTGAGCTCCAGCATTCTTCTATGGAGAGAGAAGAACCTTACAGAAGGACAACTGTCTGTGCAGCAATCCACCATTCAGGCCTGTATGGTAGAGTGGCCAGACGGAAGCCACTCCCCACCTGAAATTTGCCAAAAGGCATCTGAATGACTGTCAGACCATAAGAAACAAAATTCTCTAGTCTGATGAGACTAAAATTGAACTGTTTGGAGTCCGCTCATCACCAGGCTAATACCATCCCTACAGTTAAGCATGGTGGTGGCAGTATCATGCTGTGGGGATGTTTTTCAGCAGCAGGAACTGGAAGACCAGTCAGGATAGAGCGAAAGATGAATACAGCAATTTAGAGAGACATCCTGAGTGAAAACCGGCTTCAGAGTGCTCTTAATCTCAGACTGGAGCGATAATTTATCTTCCAGCAGGACAATGACCCAAAGCACACCAAAATATTAATGGAGTGGCTTCACAACAACTTGGTGAATGTCCTTGAGTGGCCCAGCCAGCGCCCAGACCTAAACCCTATTGAACATCTCTGGAGAGATCTGAAAATGGTTGTATACCGTCACTTCACATCCAACCTGATATAACTTGAGAGGTACTGCAAAGAGGAATGGGCAAAAATTCCCAAAGTCAGGTGTGCCAAGCTTGTGGCATCATATTCAAAAGGACTTGAGGCTGTAATTGCTGCCAAAAGTTGAGCAAAGGCTGTGAATACTTATGAACGTGATTTTTCAGTTTTTAATTTTTAATTATTTTGCAACAATTAAAAGAATAGTCTTTTTTCACATTGTCATTATGAGGTGTTGTGTGTAAAATTTTGAGGAAATAATTCATTTAATCCATTTAGGAATAAGGCTGTAACATTAAAAAAAATGTGGGAAACGTGAAGAGCTATGAATACTTTCCGGATGCACTGTAGGTACATCAAATTTCCTTTTGTTTATGGTTATGAGCTTAAGACAAGTTATTCTGTATACATAAAAATCCTATTAACTGGATGTTAAGTGTCAGCTTCTGTGTTTCAATAGTGTCTTTAAATGATTCTTGCTCTAAATATGCCTGTAAAAATTTTTGCTATACTGTATACATTTGTTGATTAAAGACATTTAGCTGTGTAAATCATTATAAAATGAATGAACGTCATTGTTTTTACTATTATTTAGGGGTTTAGGGCTGCGTGATCCTTATGAAATCGCAAACCTGACTGAGCAAAACTACGACTGTCATGCACATCTTGTCAGGGAAACACGGTGTGATCTATAATAAATCTCCTTTGAAAGCCTAATTTTGTTTGCCTTTTTGCTGTGTGTCAGTTTCGGGTGTGCATTTACTATAGGCAGCACTATGCATTGCTGTTAAAGGGCACCTATTTTACCCCCTTTTACAAGATGTAAGACTTTGATGTCTCCAGAATGTGTCTGTAAAGTTTCAGCTGAAAATATTTATTATGTAATGTGGAATCTATCCGTTTTGTTGTCTGAGGACTATGTAGCTGTTTTTGTAGCGCGTGGCTTTGAATCCAACTGAACTGCTTCTCCTCTACCCCTCTGAATGTGTCTGTTTCTCATCATGCTTTATGTTAGATAAACAGCCATCAGTGATTAGACAGACACGGATGAAGCTGAAATAAAGTCACTAGTCAAAAATACCAAGTAAGTTTATTACATGTATTTGTGGTGGAGTCTATTCAAGCCTTTCTGAAATGATGAGTCACACACAGATGCTTATTGCAGTACACATACACAAACACACACGCACATGCACATTTACCGACACCATGCGGCCGTGGTGATTATATCAGTTATGAATTACTTAACTTCCAAAGGAGTTATAGTTTTAATGTTTTAATCCCAGTTTCTTTGCAAAAAATGTTCTGTGGATATGTGTATACATGTTATTATGGAGAAATGGCGCCTGTCAATCAACTTGATGTGCAGGGAAAACTGAACATCTAAAATATCTTAATCTGTATTCTGAAGATGAAGGTGTCTAGGGATTGTAATCATATGAGGGTAATCATTAATAATATTTTCCATTTTTAATCCTATTTTGGGGTAAATTAACCTTTAAAAAATAAGCAATCTTTTTTTTTTTTCATTCTGTTGTACCATAAACAATTTTTTGCCCTTTGTTGGTTTGCCATGTCCAATGTCAACTCCTGAAGCAGAACCACTGCTCTGTACCACAAAGGTTGCTTAAGACCTGTGAGCTTAATGAAAGGGTAATAAAAAGCCCAAATCTAATATGTGTGGATGAGCTCAGAGCTAGCTGGAAGAATGCCAAGGCTTCATGTTGCCGCCCCTTGCTGACAAGTGTATTTACTAATAGCTCCTGCTGCTAATGAATCACAAGGACTTTGAGGTGCTGTCAGCACATCAGGGTGAGGGAACCTGCCTGTGCTCTCAGCCAAACTCTTTTGTCTCCTACAGAATGTGGAGTCACAATAAATATCTTCACATTAGCGAGACTAGAAATTACGAATAGGCATTTTTTAAAAGGTTTCCATTTTACAAGATGTAAGATAAGTCTTTGGCATCTACAGAATGTGTCTGTAAAGTTTCAGCTCAAATACTAATTTGAGCTGAATATGCAAATTCTGGAGTAAAATTACATTGTAGTTGTTTTGTTGCCTTTAAATGCAAATGAGCTGGTTCTCCCCGCCCACCTTTCCCATATGTCTGTTTCTGCTATGTCACAGAATCAGCAGTTAGTGACAGAGGCAGCAATAAAGGCAAAGGAGTGAATATTCAGTTCAGAAACCAATTAAGGTTATTTGATTCATTTGTTGTAGAGTTTATTCAAGCCCTTCTGCAACGATGAGTCACACAAATGCCGTAGCAAAGTTTGTAGTAAACACATTTGAATGTTTGTAAAAAAAGCCACATTGTACAATGCAGTGATGTTATGTTGTTTTAAAATACAACATATTAACGTTTTAATGTAGAAAAAGCCAACATGGGTGTCTCTGTTACAGACTTGCAGATAAACCACACTTTAATAGTTTTAAACTACAAAGTGGCTAAGAACTAGTAATTTTTTGATAATTATTAAAATATGAAATCTGGAGTCAGTGCATCGCTACCTTATATGGCCGAAGCCCAGCTCGGGGAGATACGGCAGCTTTTTAAACTGGATGATGGAGTCGTAGAGTGACGGCTGCAGACCCTGAGCCACCATGTTGGCCAGGATGACAGCGACCATCATGGGGAGGATGTGAGAGATCTGACCGGTAAGCTCGAAACAGATCACCGCTGTAGAGACGGTGTGAGTGACTGCTCCTGTCAGCGCCGCCGCACCTTCATCAAGACAAACAGAAAAATTAATGGTGTAACAGCACACAAAGAAGCAGTGTGATCCCATTTTTCCACACGTTTAATGAGTTTCAAATTATGGGTTGCACTTTCAGTTCAGGGACTATCCATTCAAAATGGACCCTTTTCACATTTCCGGGTTTCTCAGTAGCGGAAGTCATTATAGTTGGGTAAACTTAGAGAGCAGTAAATGGGAGAGTACCACAAATAATACATTTTCCAATCCTATTTGCGGATATAATACAAGAAAAACTTCACAATGGTGTTATCAAGACATCCAGAAAAAAAAAAATCCCCATAGATGCTGCATTGCAAATGCCTTGCGTAAGTGGTAATTCATTTTTGTAATTTGATGCAGAGATGATATAATACATATGTAAACAGATATAAATATACAGAAGTTTTGTTTAATCAAAATAGATAAAAAAAAGAAATTCTTATGAAAAGAATCCATTGCTGAAACAGACTATTTAAACAATACATACACATAGTGAGTGAGAGGTACACTACCAGTCAAAAGTTTGGCGTCAGTTTTTTTTTTCCATTTTTTTTTTTTTAAGAAAATTATTCTGTTCATCAAGGTGGCATTTATGAAATGTTAAATTGTTAAATATTTATTACAATTTTAAATAACTGCTTTCTTATTATATGTAGTTTCAAATGAAGTGATTACTCCAGACATTATTGCTTTAATTACTATTACCATTAGTAATAATAATATTAATAAATAATAATAATAATAATAATAATAACAATAAATATCAATAATAAAAATAATATTAATAATAATAATAATAATAATAAATAAAAATAATATTAGAAGGATTTATGAAGGATCATGTGACACTGAAGACTAGAGTAATGAAGCTGAAAATTCATCATTAAAATCCCTGAAATAAATTATTAAATAAAATAATAAACTACTTTTTCATAGTGCAATATGATTTTACAATTATACAATTTATACTGTACTTTTGATGAAACAAATGCAGCCTTGGTGAGCAGAACAAGCTTATTTTATGACATTGAGCTTCATTTTTATCCATTAAAATAATGTTATGCTTGGAATTATTAAAATACTTAATATTTTATTTTATTTTAAGAATGCTTAAGCACTAGCTTGGAAATTCTATTTGACATTTGTGCCAAAAGTACTTTTTTTTTTTTATTGAGTTCCTCTAGATTATTTAGCCTTTGCTCTCACAGCAAGAAGGTCACTAGTTCAAGCCCCGGCTGGGTAAGTTGGCATTTCTATATGGAGTTTGCATGTTCTCTCCGTGTTTGAGTGGGTTTCCTCCGGGTTCTCTGATTTCCCCCACAAGACCAAAGACATGCGTTATAGATGAATTGGGTAAGCTAAATTGTCCGTAGTGTATGAGTGTGAATATGAGTGTACTGTATGGATGTTTCCCCAGTAATGGGTTGCAGCTGGAAGTGCATCCACTGTGTAAAATATATGCTGGATCAATTGGTGGTTCATTCTGCTGTTGCAACCCCAGATTAGTAAAGGGCCTAAGCCGACAAGAAAATAAATAAATGAATGTTTTTATATTAAATATGTAAAAATTTGTATTTAGAAAAAAATGATTTCTTACTTCAGCAGCTAGTGAATAGTTTAATTTTCAGTGCTAATTTTTTTCCTGCATTTATTTGTTCAAATATTGAATTCATTCATTTATTCATTATCCTTCGGCTTAGTCCCTGATTACAGTGAAATGAATCGCCAACTATTCCAGCATATGTTTTACGCTCGGATGCCCTTCCAGCCGCAACTCATTACTGGGAAACACCCAAACACTCTCACATTCACACATGCTTATACACTACAGCCAATTTAGTTAATCCAATTCATCTATAGCGTAATTCTTTGAACTGTGGAGGGAACTGGAGCACCCGGAGGAAACCCACACTAACACAGGGAGAACATGCAAACTCTACACAGAAATACCAGCTGGCCCAGCTGGGACTCGAAACTGCAACCTTGTTGCTTCTTGCTGCTTGCAACAGTGCTAACCACTGAGCCACTGTGCCACCCTGAAATATTATTTATCAAATCTTTTTTCACTCTAAAGTAATATAAAATATAATAAATGTTCTGGTTTATTACTGTAGATGTTAAACACATAGTGGTACATATTCAAAGTGGCATTCAGACATGTGGATTTATATATAGTCAGGGTTAGAGATACGTTTGACTTTGAGTTTTATATTTATCCCTCTTGAAAACAAAGTTCGCTTGGTATTTTAATGTGACATTACTACCACAGACATATCTGTGGCCAAAGCTATTTTCAGTTCAATTACTTTTACTCGGTCAGTTTATTTTCTCTTAATGTTAAACATGATCATAATCTTGCTGCAGAAAGACTTAAGAGTTTTGGGTTTATTAATATTCTGATGAACGAATAATTTGTTAATTCTAACCAACTGCATTTTAATATTGGATAGATGAACTATGAAAAACACTTCACTGATGGTTTATTTAAATGGAAGTACCTCCCATAACTCACACAATGCACCATGGGCCACAAGAAAAAGGTGTGTAAAACAGGGTCATGAGTGACATAATGAATGGAGAGTGTATGGAAACATGCAGTGGAAGATCAGAGAGGACGGAACGGGAACAGGAAAGGACATGGTTAGCACAGAATGAGCAAACATTAGGTGACAGTGGTGGACTGGAAGAGGAGGAAAGGATGACTGACCAATGACAGCGTACCCTCCAGGGATGATGCGGTACAGGATCCCATCAAACAGGATCCCGTGGGGAAAGAGAGTGGCCATGATCTCACCCACTAAACGACCGAACGCAGCACCTGGAAAACAGAAGATAATTTAGAAGCCCAGATTTAAGAGATTTTATGGTTTTATTTATTTACAGATTTGCTTAATTACTATACTATATATATACAGCCAATCCCAAATGTATTTTTTTATTATTAAATAATTGTATTCATTATTTTATTATTTAATGCCGAAAATATATGCAGAGTTCTGATGCAAAAACCCCAGTGCCATCTGAAATGTTCTTCTAAAATGAGCAGTTTTCTCAGGGCCCTGTGCATAGGTTCAGGCTTTTTCACATTTAAGGCCAAGAATCGGTTCATTTCATTGCCTTTACAGTGAAATAACTGAACATAAACATAGGAGGCTGAGAAAAATGCTCATTTTAAAAGTACATTTCAGACATCATTTAGAGGTTTTTGCATCTGACCTCTTTATATATGTAGTAATTAAGCAAATCTGTAAATAAATAACAACATAAAATAATTGAATGAGGTATTAATCACTAGTTAATGCTTGTTCGCCCTGAACAGGGTTTCTACAGCTTTCGTCAAGTCAAATTTAAGGCTTCTTAAGAACTTTGTTTTTTTGTAATTTCAGACTTACACAGAGGGCTAAAATGCTTAAGATTTTTTAAAAGGCCAAATTAACCTAAAAAAAAAAAAAGTAAAACAAATGTTATTTTAAGGAAGATAATTAAACCATATTAATATGTAAATAGAATAAATAAACACGTATAAATGAATAAATAAAATTGTTTTTTTAAAACTTTTATTGAAATATATTGTTAGTCATTGTATTAGTATAGTATAGCCTGATATGTATAACTTTACAAGGACATAGGGAAATTAAGACCATTTTAAAATGATTTACAACACAGGACAACACAAGACCTACAACACAGTATTACAGTGGATTTAAGACTTTTTGAGGTCTAAAATTTGTTTTTTGAAGTTTAAGACATTTTAAAACTTTGAACCTGAAGGACATCAAAACAAGATGTATGGGGGGCGGGTTTAATAATAAAAAATATACATTTTTTCAATTATTAATATTAAGGATATATTTCAGAGATCTGAGAAACGTATAGATTTTATTCCCTGATCGTCAATGTATAGTTTGCACACTGCCTTTAATGTTATAGCATATTTCAGTCAAACGTTTTAACAATTTAACAAAACAATTTTTGTTTGACTTCATTACCAATAAAAAAATACTGAATCTAAATATATATAATTATGTATTTATAAATATGCATCTATTAATTTACCCATAGCTTTTTTTTAGTGTTTTATAAAATATGTAGTTTTTTTCTCTGTTTATTTATTCAAAAATGTAAAAAATATATTATTGAAATTTTATTCAAACTTAATAATAATTAATAAAACGTAATAATTAGAAACTTAAAATTCATGATCTGATTATGTCTTTTGTAAAAATATTCATATAGTTTTTGCAAAAAATGTAAATTTGTTTAAGAATACATTATTTAATAATTAATTAATACATCAATAAACAAAAAAAAATCTATGTAATTGATCGATTTTTACACATTTGCTATTCTCACATTTTGTGTTTTATAAATTGAATAAATATATGTAAATAAACTTTTTGAAAAGAATACTCCATTTTAAAAATGTGTGATTAGTGATCCAGAATCTGTAAATATACTTTTATAATATTTGGCATAAAATTTTCTCAAAATCTCAGCTGTATTTTTGTAAAGCTTAAAAAGGTTAGTTTAGCCCTTAATGACCATTTGTCTTCTGCAATTCTGATCAGCGTTTACATAGGAATTAAAGCCACTTCTGTTCATCATCTCTCTTCAGAAAGCTAAAGATTCATCTTTCGATCAATATGCAAACATTTTGGAGTGAATAGACTTTCAAAAAATACATAAATTAATCATATTTAATGACAAAAATCTTCATTTGTGTTCCAAAGATGAACATATTTTTATACATTTGGAACAACATGAGTGTGTGATGACAGAATTTTTTTTTATTTGGGCAAAACTGACCATTTAAAAACATATATAAAAAATATTACAAATATTTGGTCTCTTTTAGACCCTGCAGCAATCTTAAAGTGATCCTTAAATAAATCAGAAACTATTCATAAATGTAAATCAATAATACATGAATAGTACCGGTGACCTACCCAAAACAAAGACAGGCATGAAAGCTCCAGACGGGATGGGCATTGTGGTGGAAACTGCAGACATCCAGAACTGTGAGATGAATAATAATGTTTTCACACAATTGCCTTAATTGTAAAATCTCAAAGGTCAGCACAACCTGTGCGAGCCCAAAAACCGCTGCTTTAAACATGACAGATGGAAAGAGATAATGACTGTGGAGCTCTACTGAATAAAAGCAGCTTTCCTTTAAGCCATCCAGACAACTCTGCCAGGATCACAAAAGCCAATGTCGATTTGTGTGCTACTTCCCAAGTGTCTTAAAGTCAAAAATGACTTGCTGATTAGTTAAAGGGTTAGTTCACCCAAAAATAAAAATTCTGCTATTAATGATCGCCCTCGCGTTGTTTCAACCACCTGAGATCTTCGTTCATCTTCAGAACACAAATGAAGATATTTTAAATGAAATCTGAGAGCTACTGCATCCTCAATAACCAGCAACAGTCCTGAGACGCTCCAAGTACCGAAAAGAAACTGAAAAAATTGTCAGACCATTCCATATGACTTCAGAGGTTTGGATGTAATCATAGAAAATTTTAAAAACACTTTTGTGCAGCAAAAAAACCACAGGGAGCATGTTTACTAAGGTACAATATGATGTATCGCTATTAGAGTCAGCAGCACAACATGCAAGCGTCAAAATTCCGTATTAAATGCACTCACTGACCTGACAGGGAGACACTTTTACAGTTTTTTTTGCCCACCAAAGTGTTAATTTAGTTTTTCTATAATTATCACAGTTCAATTACTAAAGTCCCATGTAACGTTTTTGGTTCCTTTCTGGACTTTGAACATCTCTGTACTGTTGCTGTCTATGGAGAATAAGAGAGCTCTCAGATTGCATCTAAAATATCTTCATTTGTGCTCAAATGAACGATGATGAACGAATGTCTAAAGGGATAAGAATTACATGAATGTAAGTAATTAATCCTTTCACGTGTAAGTTCTAAAAAAAATCAAGCTGACCCCTGCGTGAGTTTTTTTTAATGTTATTTAGAACTCTTCTCTTTAAAGTTCCCATAGCGAAGCATCAAGATGGTCATGTAACATACTACAGCCACAGGGATTCATGCATATCATTTTTTCCCTTTTTTTCCCCATTTTCTGCAAATATAAAGACTAACTTCGGAATCGTAATGTGAAACATCTAATATTCCGAATTTCAAATATGCGTAAGAATGTGTATTTCGTCGTTAACACAGTTTTAAAAAAGATCCTATTCTTTGATAAATGATGGCTGATGCTTAGTTTACACTGCATGAGAGATTAAATAGAGGTGCTGGATTTACATGCTTATTCATAATGTTCTTCCGAAATATACGAAACTAAGTGTCTATTTAACTGGGAGAAAAGTAGAGTAAATGTTATAGTAACATAAACAGTGTGTATGTTACATAAAAAAAGGCCATTGTCCAGTTATATTTAGAAATAATTATTATTGCCATCTCCATAGACATCCGCAGTATTTAACAAACCTTCAATGCAATGTTTTGCTAGTACTTGTGTATTGAATATCTGAAACTGTAAATAAACTTTATTTGTTTGAAAACACTGATTAATTGTGACTTGTGACAAGCAGCACACTCCTCTTTCTTTCTCTCAGCACGAGCCGTCAGATTTGAATTTGTGATGTGCGTTATAATGATCTAATCACACCGGTGTGATCGTATGCATGAAAGGGTGTTTTGATTTTTGGTCAACTAATCCTTTAAAGATGACAACATGACTTTGAGATATGATATATACATTAGAGACAACTGATGAAGATTAAAATCAACCAACCTTCATGATCAAAAAGAGGATAAGAATGACAAAGATGCTGACGTCAGGATGAAACCACACAGCAGAGCGTCCGAGTCCCGGCGGGAGGGGGGATCCCCATATTTTAGTCCAGGTGAAGTTATCAAACAGAGAGTTGATGCACTCCCTGGGCATCAGCTGCAGGATAATAAAAGCAAAAACCAAATCAAAGTAAGTATTTCAACAATCCAGTCATGCCAAGACAATAGTGTAGTGGTTTACAATATTATCACTTGGGGTCTAACTGTTCACAAAATTTGCTGTGAAGTTTTATATGTGAATACACCTAGTGTCTGTACATTAAAGAGATAGTTCACCCCAAATTTTGTTATGCCTTACTCTCAGTTTTCCTGAATTTAGTTTCCTGGGCAGAAAAGTTTTCTCATTCCGCAAAGGGAAACTGAACTTCTGACATGTAAGTGTAAACAACGCAGCATTTAGTACCATTGTCAGTCGGATGGATTTGCTGATGCAAATATATGTCTGATAATCTAATAATTCATATCGTTTGCAAATATTTGAGAAATGTAGCGAAATTACAGCTAGCCTCAGTTGATGATCTCATGCTGATTCTACATAGTAAATCGGGGCAAAACCAAACCAAGTAGCTGGACTGATGAAACCCAATGTCCGACCGTCGGCTTGGTGTGTTCTGGCCTTTAGTAAGACTGGTATTACTGAAAACTAATTTCAGGGAATTTATAATTACTTCTTTAAAAAAAAAAAAAATACAATATTGTGCACTTTTTGAGATTTCTTACATTCACAAATTGCCATATTATAAACTACAATAAAGATAATGTTAAAATTAAAAAAAAAAATAAATAAATAATAATAATAATGATAATAAAGGCACTTTAAATAAGAATTATATTTTTTATTGTTCTTACTTTCATGATAGTTTTAGACTCTTTCAAAGCTTACTTAAGGGCTTTTTTAGTAGGCCTCAAACCCTGATTAAGAACTGCTGACATTTAGCCGCACCATCTTGGTGTTTCGTAACATCTAATTTTTACGAGGTGGGTCACTCAACCCCTGACCTGGAGGACCAGGACATACACGCATACACTACGGCCAATTTAGTTTACCCAATTCACCTATATCGCATGTCTTCGGACTTGTGGGGTAAACCGGAGCACCCGCAAGAAACTCAAGCAAACACTTGGAGAGCATGCAAACTCCACACATGCAATGCCAAATGACCCAGCCGAGGCTCGAATCAACGACCTTCTTGCTGTGAGGCGACAGTGCCACTCACTGCGACACAATGCCACCCAATACTAATATATGTATATATATTTATAAAAATCAACAAAACTCTAGTATGAATTGACGGAGACTACTAATCTGACCTCTCCAGCCATGAACTGCCCGAAGCCTGGCGGGAATGTCAGTGTTGTAACCACCAAGGTCACAACAGCAGGGAAAACCAGCCGGCTAGGAGAGAAATGAGATTTAGCATTTAGTATTTTGCTTGTACACTAATTTCAAAGCGAAACAAAAAAAAAAAAAAAAAAAAACACTATTATTACACTTTTTAGGTTCATATTATCAGTTGTCCTTTGCCTCTTTAGGACTTACTGTTTTGTAAGGAATCGTGTGAGAATATTCGGTCTTCTCATGAACAGGACAACTTGACGATTCAGGTAAACAAAGAAAGCGCCCAGAAATCCACAAGAAATCCTGTCGGGGAAAAAAGTCACTAAGACAAAAAAACAAACAAGAAAACAATCACATTCATCTAGTTCACCAACAGTTTTTTTCATTGTAGCATTTTTTAAAAATGTAATAATAAGAACAAAATACTAAGATTAGTAATTTCACCAAAAAGGTAAACAAAGTGCCCAAAAAATACATCAAATACAGCACTAATCAGGGTATCTTCCGTCCATTCCATATCCCTTTTCAAACAAAAAACAAAAACGTTTTCTTTTGCTCACAAAAAAAACAAAAAACAAAACAAGATTTTGGCTAGATTTTAATTTTTTGGTTTAGGGTAGGAAAACAAATAAATGACTTTAAAATTCATTATATACATGTAGGCGGTGCTGAAATGCCCTTTTCCCTCCGATTGCTCAACCAAATCTGAGCTTGTGATGTCGTCCTCACAACAACAGTCTGCCCAGGCTTTTTATTATTATTATTTATAATAATATAGGCTTCATTATAAATATGAGCTAAGTTTACATATTCTATCATTTGATCAGTTAGCAGGCTTACATTGTATAAATTAAATAAAAATGTAAATTAGCAGTATTATTACACTTTTGTCATTACAGTCACGGGTCACAGCTCGCTGCCAAACGTCTTGCTGCTGTGCACCTGATGCTAAGCAAAGATAGCCATTCCGAGCAGAACCTGTTTTGCATGCTTGCTTCCGAGCAAGACCTATATAATAATAATAATAATAATGTAAAGGGACGAAAATAAAATAAATGAATGAATAATAATAATAATATGCCTATAGTTTGCCGCCAAACTTCTTGCTGCTGTGCACCTGACCATGAGTTTTCTGAGCAGAACCTGGTTTGCATGATTGTTTCAGAGCTACTGTAGACCTAAACTATAATAATAATAATAATAATAACAATAAGCTAATAATAATAAATAATATTGTTTTTTTAATAGTTGTTTGCAGGACCAGAATAAGAACACATTGGGCCTTGGGGCAATAACAAAGGGTACCATTTGTTTTTATTTTAATTCCCCCTATTTTAATTTTATATATATATATATAAGGGCAATTCAGCACTGCCTACGTGTGTATAATGAATTTAAAAGTCCTTATTTGTTTTCCTACTCTAAACAAAAAAAAAAAATGAGCCTATATATATATATATATTTTTTTTTTTTGTAAGCGAGTTTTTCTTTTTTTTTTGTAAATGGATTTGGATTGGTTGAAAGATACCCTGGTCCATGTACCATTCATTCATTTGATTATTCCTTTTATTCTGGAAAACGAAACTTAATATTTTAGTTTTCTGTTTATTCTGTAGGCACAAAAAAACGAAAGCTCATCTGTTATTCTGCTTATTAACTTAAAACAAAATATTAAAACAAATGCAAAACCAAAACAAATTTATGAAACTTACGTAAATACATAAACTTGATGCATGCAAATACCCAGATATACACTCACATATACATATAAACTAGATCTATGCATATGTTCCCAAAAACTCTCACATATGAAAGTAAACTTGATGCGTGCAAAATAAAATTCACAAACGCATATACAATTTCTATGTGTATGTGCTATAGACTTCTCAAAAGTCATTTGAGTTTAAATTGAGTTTGTTATATAAATAATAATTAATCAGCTTATTAAATAGAAATAACCCAATTAATAGAGGAATTACATCTGTCGAATAGTAATAGTAGATTAAATTAAATATAAAATATATAAAAGATAATGCTTGGAATGCTCCAGCAAATTATAAAGGTTTATTATGCAATTAAATTATTAGAATTATTAGAAAGCAATGGAATTTGGACAGTTGAAACCAGAACTTTACATACACTGTATAAAAAGGCACATAGCCATTTAAAAAAAAGTCAGATGTTAACATGACTAAACTTTTTTCTCATTTAGGTAGGTTAGGATTATCAAATTAGTTTCTGTTATGCTTAATAGCAGAAAACGAGAGATATATTTTTGAGAAATCGTTGACTTTTCTTGAAAGTCAAGTTTACATACAATAAGATTTTTATGCCTCTGAAAAAGCTCAGGTGATGGTGTCAAGGTTTCGGAAGTTTCTGATTGGCTAATTGACAATATTTGAGTTAATTGGAGGCACAACTGTAGAATAGTATTTAAGGAAAACCTCAAACACACCGCTTCCTTGTGTGAAAACATGGGAAAATCAACAAGCCAGAATCAACAAAAAAGCCAGATTACAATGTGCTAAATAACTCTGGGAAAAAGAATAATGTTTGGAGACAAGTCCTGTGGTCTGATGGAACTAAGGTTGAACTGTTTGGCCATAATGACCAGTGTTACATTTGGAGGACAAAGGGGAAAGCTTACAAGCCTAGGAACACCATCCCAACTATGAAGTATGGGGGCGGCAGCATCATGTTGAGGGGCTGTTTTGCTGCAGGAGGAACTGGTCCCCTTCACAGCATAGATGGCATCATGAAGAAAGAACGTTATGTAGAAATACTGAAGCAACATCCCAAGACATCAGGCAGGAAATTAAAACTTGGCCACAAATGGGTCTTCAAAACAGACCATGATCCTAAGCATACTGTCAAATTAGTTAAAATGTGCTTTAAGGACAACAGAGGGAATATTTTGGAGTGGCCATCACAAAGCCCTGAGCTCAATCTTATAGAAAATTTGTGAGCAGAGTTAAAAAAGCTTGTGCGAGCAAGACAGCCAACAAATCTGACTCAGATACAACAATTCTGTCAGGTGGAAGGGGCCTAAATTCCTTTAAACTATTGTGAGAAGCTTGTGGAAGGATACCCAAAACATTTGACCAAAGTTATACAGTTTAAAAGCAAAGCTAAAAAAAAAATGCCAAGGAAATGTATGTAAACTTTTGACTGTCTAGAAATTAATAAAAAAATTCTCAAAAAATAATTCTCTCATTATTTTGGCATTTTGCAAATGTAAATCATTTAGGTAATCCTAACGGACCTAAAACAGTAAAGGTTTAGTAAGATTTACCATCAGATAAAAAAGTGGTTATGTTCCTTATTTTAAAGTGTATGTAAACTTCTGGTTTCAACTGTATATGCCAGTGTGTATGTGGGTGCATGCATGCATCAGGTTTATGTATATATGCAAGTTTCATATATTGCTTTGAATATTCAATAGTATAGATGTAAATGCGAGTAATTCATAGGTGTTGCTATTGACCAATCGGCAGGAAAAGGGGTGTCTCCATCTCGTGCATACCCTTAAGTTTAAATCTCTCTCTTTTTTTTTTTTTGGTTAAAGGAATACACAAATAAATGCTTTATCTCATTTTTGTTTTGTACTTGTTTTTATTCTTTGTTTTCAGTTAAAAACAGGATAACAGATGAGCTTTTGTTAGTTTTTGTGTGCCTACAGCAGGGGTGCTCAACCCTATTCCTGGAGATCTACCTTCCTGTAGATTTCAGTTGCTACCCATATCAAACACACCTGCCTGTAATTATCAAGTGCTGTTTTAGGTCCTAATTAATTGGTTCAGGTGTGTTTGATCAGGGTGAGAGCTGTGTTTTGCAGGAAGGTAGATCTCCAGGAACAGGATTGAGCTGCCCTGACCTACAGAATAAACAGAAAAACAAAATATTGACTTGTTTTGTTTTCCAGAATAAAAGGAATAATCAAATGAATGGATAGTACGCGGACCTACCCTGATTAGCACCAATATCTGCTCACTTTAATCACTGACAGTAATAATGCATAATTTTAAAGTGCTGTGTGTTCAGGTCTACGAGTGTGTCAAGTGTTACAGCATGGCACACAAACAAACACACACACACAGCTTCAGGATTGTGCCCTCACCACGAACGGCATGCTCTCGCCCAGCGCTCTCACCCAATAATGGCGAACGCCGGGAGCTCCTGCAGGTCGAAAGGAAAGTCCATGCGGAAGTTGGTGCGGAAGAGAGCAGTGATGGTGACTGTAACAATAGAAAGGAGACATCTGAGCATCTCAGTGCTGCCGAAAACATTTGCTTCCTTCTGGGATATTGTTTAGTATCTCACCCGCATCCTTATTGAACACTGACAGCACTCTGAAAATAAAAGCGCTGAACGTGGCAGCAAAGTAGCCTCTCCAGTAGTTTCTCACAGCAAAGTAGGTTGATGTAACTTCGATGCTGAACAAAACACCTGGATAAAGATCATAAACATTTACAGTACAGCAGGTATTTTCAAACTTTCTAACACTATGGTCTATCCCACACTATCATGGACACCAAATTCAAAGACTTAAGGAATTTTTAAATCACTAATAATTTTAAATCATACACCTTAATTCACACACCCAGCATATACTGTAGAAACATAGAAGTTTGTCCTGTGCTTTATATTTCACTTACACTTAATATTTACTTTAAAATGTCATAGTAATAATAATATATGAATGTGTCATTTTCAAAAATGTTGATCGTTGTGTTCAAAGAACTTATTAAGAAGAACAGAATTAGTTGAATTATATACAGGCAATGTTCAAATGTGGTTTCTGAAATATTGATAAAATGCATTATTTGTCATAGCTTTTGTACACTCACCGGCCACTTTATTAGGTGCAAATTACCAGTACCGGGTTGGACCGCCCTTTTGCCTTCAGAACTGTTTTAATCCTTCATGGCATAGACTCAACAAGGTACTGGAAATGGTCCATATTGACATGATGCCATCATAGTTGCTGCAGATTTGTCTGCTGCACATCCATGATGTAAATCTCCCTTTTCACCACATCCCAAAGATGCTCTATTGGATTGAGACTTGGTGACTGTGGAGGCCATTTGAGTACAGTGAACTCATTGTCATGTTTAAGAAACCAGTTTGAAATGATTCATGCTTTATGACATGGCACGCTATCCTGCAGGAAGTCGCCGTCAGAAGATGGGTACACTGTGGTCATAAAGAGATGGACATGGTCAGCAACAATACTCAGGTAGGCTGTGGCATTGACATGATGCTCAATTGGTACTAATTGGACACCACTCCCATCCGACTGAATGAATATATATGATAAAAGGCAGGATAGATGGATGCTTTCATGTTGTTGCTGCCAAATTCTGATCCTACCACCCGAATGTTGCAGCAGAAATCGAGACTCATCAAACCAGGCAACGTTTTTTCCAATCTTCTATTGTCCCATTTTGGTGAGCCTGTAGCCAATTTGTAGCCTCAGTTTCCTGTTCTTAGTTGACAGGTGTGACACTCGGTGAGGTCTTCTGCTGCTGTAGCACATTTGCCTCAAGGTTGGACGTGTTGTGCGGTCATTGATGCTCTTGATGCTCTTCTGCATACCTCAGTTGTAACAAGTGGTTATTTGAGTTTGTTGTCTTTCTATCAGCTTGAACCAGTCTGGCCATTCTCCTCTGACCTCTGGCATCAACAAGGCATTTGCACCCACAGAACTGCCGCTCACTAAAATATTTTCTCTTTTTCGGATCATTCTCTGTAAACACTAAAAATGGTTGTGCGTGAAAATCCAAGTAGATCAGCAGTTTCTAAAATACTCAGATCAGCCCGTCTGGCACCAACAACCAAAGGCACTTAAATCACCTTTCTTCTCCATTCTGATGCTCAGTTTGAACTGCAGCAGATCATCTTGACCATGTCTACATGGCTAAATGCAATGAGTTGCTGCCATGTGATTGGCTGATTAGAACTTTGCGTTAACAAGCAGTTGAACAGGTGTACCTAATAAAGTGGCTGGTGAGTGTTTAATATTTAAATGTAAGATTTATAAAGAATTTCTTTTTTTTTTTTTTTCGTTCAGTTTTAAAGAAGCACAGTACAATTGTTACAATAACACTACCAATTTGAAATTCAAGCACTTTCAAGGACCTATGTTGGTTTTTAAACACTTTCAAGAGTTCACACTTAGATATTGCTTGACAGCTGTAAGCAGGTTTGGCATGCTGTCCCGGGAGAGAACCCTGAGCTCGGAGATAGTTGAGCCCAGGGCTCCCGCCAGGTCCATAGAGCATGTGAGGGGAGTACGAGATCAGGTGGTTCTCGAGAGCTCCCCTTTTTGTAAAGGAGAAAAGGAGGAGAAAGGGGTGGATGGGGGGGGTTTCTTCGGAAAACGAAGATAAGGGAGTAATGTCTAGCTAGGCTACTTATAGTGGGTTAGGATAGATCTGATTGGCTAACTAATGAGTGTAGATAGGTGGCGAGCTGCTGTCAATTATATCACGTGCTCCTCTCGAAATTAGTTTAAAAACTTCACTTAAAGAAACCTGGGAACCCCGTGACGGAGGACAACTAATGTTTTGGTAAATTATTAACAAAAATGACACACTACCATACAGAATTTTTGGGTTATATTTAGCCACAGACAAAATCGATGGACATTGTTTTAGCCATTTCTGTGCAGATTTTTGTCTGTCCCACTATGACCACAGTGTACCCCACAATGTGATGGCTACTTCCATCAGGGCCGCTTGTGATGTAACAACGCTCAAATCATTTCGTCATGCATGTTCAATTCATAAATCTCTATATGAACTGTATGATACTCTGATATCAGAATGGACCAATATCCCTTGAAGAATGTTTCCAGCACCTTGCTAAATGAATGTGAGCGAGTTAATAAACCAGTTAGTCCCAGTACAAGCAAGATATACCTAATAAAGTGGCCAGTGACTGAATTTCACCTTCCAAAATAAGCTGAAACGGCAAAAAAAAAAAAGCACTTTACCTCCTAAAGGGGTTCCAAAGCAGCATCCGACCCCCACTGCACAGCCCACAGTGAGGATGTCTGTATAACCATATGGGCTCTACTGACACAGATATAGACAAAGAAAAAAATAGAAACAAAAGAAGCGGACACAGCTGAGGGTACAGGTATAGAAAGATGGAAAATAATACACGGTAATATAAATGCCCAGGATGATTTATCAGCACTGTCCTCAAAGATAATGCGTAACAGAAAGCACCCTGTCTCATCCCTGGATGATATACGAGCATTACTCCATTTTATGAATGGCGATGCCAAATGTGCGGTGCAGAATCTCCATGCACTTCTGCTTACCTGATAGACTCCAGAGAAGAACGACATAAACTTGCTGAGCACAGCAGCACAGATGCTGGCTATGTGAACAAATGGACCCTAATGCATAAAAATAGCAGGATTTAAAGGTTAGACGGAGCAGAGTTGACCCAATTGGCCACCAAATTTGAATTTTGTATAATATGAAATGGTAAACCATAGTGTATGTTACGCGAGACTGACAAGATCGAATACGTCTCACCTCTTTGCCAACCGGCATACCACTGCCCAGGCCAGCAGTGAGTCCCACCACCTTCGCAACAAATGCTTTGAGTGTCAAATACTCCTTCAGCACAACACCTCTGAGTATGGTTTTCATCTCCGGAATACCAGAGCCTGGGGGGGAAATATCAGTCAGAAGGAAAAAAGTAAATAACAAAACAATCAATGCGCTCGGGGGAATAAAAAATAAGGAATGAATCATGAAAAATCAATGGCAAATGTCTGTCAACAGAGTTAAAAATGATAATGGATTTATGTCACTTTTTTGATGACTCCAAGCTAGACATTAATTAAATTGAACTTATTTTGTACAGAACTTTTTCAAAAGTAAACTTTTATCCTGCTTGTTTCCTGCAGTTTGGTTTTGAATAGGTTCATGTGTATATTACAAGTTGCCTATGTATATATCTATTGCAAGGGTGCTCAGCCCTGCTCCTAAACATCTATCTTCTTGAGGTGCATTTCCCAAACAAAGACGTAACTCGCAGCTGAACTATCAAGTCAAGTCAAGTCAAGTTTTATTAGTCACATACATAGTTATACAAAGTAATGATCATAGTACGATGCATCGGTTGGCAAAAGAGCGATGTAGTGACGAGTGTTTCCCAAAACCCATAGTTTCTCTGTCGCAGATGCATTGTTTGAACCACGTTAGTTATAGCGCAAAATGCCCATAATGATGCTCTAAACAGGGTGGAGTAACAACTTCTTTAGAGAAGAACCCCATCATTTCTATGTGCAAATTAAATTTTGAATTTATATTTTATAAATTCACTTACAAAAGCTAACCGTACGTTCACACCGAAAGCGGCGAGAGCGTCCAAGGTCGCTCTGGCCGCCCTGGCGACAACGCTCTCTGCCTTCAGCTCCTGCGGCGAGAGCGTCAAAACTCGCTACATTGATCTAGTATTTAAAGGAGCCGTTGCAGCATATCAGTTGCATTCCTGCATAAAACATGTTTCTAGCGTGAAAATGTTGCGCACTTCTTATCAAATTCATACAACAATGGAAGATCAAGTTGCGTGTGGTGTGGCTTTGCTCTATTTATCCAAAATGTGTCCATATGTCTGAAATATCCTGTCACATCGCGTGAGATTCCCGCTTTTTTAAGATAAATTTATATAACATTAATGCACATCAGTAACTCGCCAGTAACTTATTTAATGTATGTTCCTGTAGGAAAAAATTGTAAATAATTGGAAATCCGGCGACCGCAATAATCAAACCCTTGGGAACAACTGTGGTCGGAACCAAAGTTCACTGGTCTGTGTTCTCTGAACTGCTATCAATCGATGGGCGTCTTCATTGTGATTGCTGGTCGCCGAACCGCGTCATAGCTCATTACCATAAAGTTGACTTCATTTCAACTCTCCTCGACGCTCACGCCGGCGAAGACGCGCCGCGCTGCTCCTTGCCGCCTATCGCCACCGGCTCTCATTGAAAATGAATGACTTCCGGCTACTTTGACGCTCTCGCCGCTTTCGGTGTGAACGTACGGTAACACGTATTCCAATCTCATATATAAATCAATAAATTAATAAATAATTATTGAGGTGATTTATTAAGAAATGAAACTTAATATTTATTATTTATTTGGAAAAAAAACTTCTATAATAATAATATTAATGATTATTATTATTATTATTATTATGTAGGATATTGTTTATTTATTTTATTTTTTGAAAAGTATACTTTTACAATTTGACACATGCAAACCACTGCAGAATGTTCTAACTAACAGGCCCATGTCAAATACAGTACAGATACTTAATAAATAACCTACTATAAATTTAAACGATTAACGTATGCTATGTTTTTTGTTTTCACAAGCTTTGGATTCGTAACGTAAATTCTGCTTTTAAATATTAGGTCACCTATAGCTTTCGTCATGAGCCACGGCTGTGTTCAAAATGGCATCCATGTTTTCAAAGTGCATTGTGAAGGGAGCGCAATTGTAAAAACATGAAGGTTGCTAAAACTAAACTTTAAAAATACTTTCAAAGTACATCACACCTAAGAGGGATGACTTTAATGCTTAAAAAATAATTCCAAGTTTAAAGGTTAGAATGTTCTAAAGGAATAGGGCATAAGGGGGATAATTAGGACTAGAACACAGCCAGGAACTATGTTCTCAGTTTGCAATGCAGTTTCCGAACGTTCGTTGGAACGATGTTTTTGGGAACTGCCAAATCAACAAACTATGTTTGTAACGATACAACTCGCACCTTAGTTGCCTAACGATGGTTTTCAGAAATGCACCCCTGCTACATTCGGCTCCAACCCTGATCAAACACACATGAACAACCTTTTTCGTTTGTTCTAATACAATACTGCTTCGCCTTTTTTTTTTTTTTTTTTTACGATATCTATTTATATGTCATTAGAAACCATCAAGTTTGTGATAATTCACTTAATAAATAAAACTTTTTTTTTATTTTATTTTGTCACAACTGAATTCCCCCTTCTGATGGGATCAGGATAATCTTGTTTTTTTTTTTGGATCATTTAGATCCCAATCTGAGTTTAAAGATTTAAAAAACCCAAAAGGCAAGTTTGATCCAAATCAAATGTAAAATTGGATTACATGGTCTGATCTCAATTCAAAATCCCTTTGTTACTTTTGAAAAACCCATTTCCAAGATTTGATGTACATCAACTTCAAATAAAGTGAGAAAATGTCCCTTAACTACAGTGTAAAAAACGCTGGGTTCCACACAAATCCTTCATGTTGTCCCAACACAAATCAATTAAGTTACCTTAATTGTTTTTACAAATTGAAGTGGATTCATCTTAAAACAATTGAGTTGTAAGAATGGTGTTGTTTTAACTTATTTAAAATAAGTAGTTTGAACAAAACAGCACTGAAAATACACTTTTGAGTGAACTAGTTGATTTTTGTTTTTGCTTAAGTTTGGTTAATGTTTACTGTAATTCTATTAACATTTTAAAACAAAGTATAGTTATAGTAAAAATTGTAAATCAGTGGTCATAAGCACTGTATAATCAGCAGGTGGCGATATTAAGTAGTAAACAGTTTGCAGCAGTTACAGTTGTTGAAGCTGCAAATAATTTATATACGTAGATATTAGCAAATTTAAGAAAAACAGCTAATTAAATATGTCAAATCAAAGCAGAGGGAAAGGTCAGACTACACACCAATTGCCTGAGGAGCGACCAGGTGGCAGAAAAGGGAGGCAAAAAGGATGAGCACCATGGGATAGGAGACCCAGACCAGGTACTGCAGTGGGATGTTTCCCCTCAACTCACCATAAAACCACTTATAGGCTAAGGGATACAGGGAAGGAAAGAATTGATGAAACACATGAAGGAGAGGAAAGAGGAAGATGTAAACAAAAATAAATGAAAGAAAACCCAGTGGAGCAAAAATTGTGGCAAACACTGAAAGCTGCAAAATAATGTGTAGAAATTAAGTTGGCAAAATAGAACAGGGGTTTTCAAAAGCAATGACCATTAAAGCATGATTTTGTGACATTGTTATAATGTAAATAATATTTTAAATAATAAAAAAACAGTTTTCTAAAAAGTAATACAGTCCTCAGCATAATTGTGTACACCCCATTTTGAAAATGAATATTTTTATCCATTTCTCAGTGAATATAGGCAACATATTTAGTGCATTAAAACAAAACAGATTTACAAAACAGATACATTTATTACAATTATATTTTAGTCACCAAACATATTTAGAAATTGAAAGATAATACAATTAAATTCAAGCAAAATATTGCAAAAATAAAATACAACCTACAAAATTTCAACAAAATTTTTATTTTTTTTGCTTCTCTTCATTTTTCCTCATTTTTAAATTTGTTTTTAATATTTTTCGTTAACATATACATTTGGCTATACTAGTTTTTAGACTGTCATCCTAAGGTATTTTGTTAGATAAGCTCCAGATTTGGCTTCAGTACTGACTAATCTAATGTATATGCACAAATATAATATTGTATAGCTTCCCATTAAAAATATGAATTTAAAAGAGAGATTTGTGAGGGGTGTACTTATATATGCTGAACACTGTATGTAAAGTATTACTGTGTTTGATAGGTGTATTAAATATGCAGTATTTTATTTATATTACAGAATATTATTGTAATATTTTACACAGCTATAATAAAATCAGTTTATTTTGTAAGGCATAAATTACAAAAGAAAAAAAAACATTGAATTAAAAATGCAGAAGGAAAGCAATACAAAAACAGTACCAAAAAATGCTTAAAACCTATGGGGTAGTCATCAGAACCGAGGACAGGTGTATCAAAGATCAAAACACTCATGGAGACTAATAAATAGGCCCGTCACGATATCTATTTTTTGTTGTACGATATATATTCCACCAAAATATATTTGGATAAACGATATTATGCCACTCATTAAACAACGCCAGAATGAGAATATCATAGCATCATAATTCATATATACTCTTCCAAAGAAAACATGACATTTTAATCTTAGTAACAATTAATTCTAGTCATTTTAACAAATAAAAAATTAGGCATTGGAATCAGAATGTGAAAACGCACATCCTAAATAAATAATAATAAATGTTTAGAGGCTGCGATATATGCTACCAGATTTATTTACAGTTGTCAGACACTCACATGAAAATACACCATAATAATTTATAGTAAATACTACAGAGTTTTTTTTCATACTGATACTGACACCTCCGATAGAGAAGGAAAGGTTGCACAATCAGCTAAAATGTCGCTGGAATTGTTTTTTATGTATGGGCGATGTTTATTGCATTGTCAAAAATGATTGAGGACCTGTCCATGTGTTGTGCAATAAGTCAATATATTGATTATTGTGAAAGGCTTACTAAGAAATGAGCTTCAATTGTGTCGTGATGAGACACAATTGTGTCACTATCAAGCTAAATCCCATCCATTTTGTTCCAATTCAGATCAGTCAGCACTGTTACGGTTTAATTTTCCAGCATGGTGCTGATAACGGGATGATAACGGATCTCTGGAACGTAATACAAATGCATTGGTTGTTGCCACAGTAATGTAAATGTAAACAGCTGTATGGGCGATTATTAGATATTTCTGTTTGGGGACATTTTATTTCTGATATCTACTTAATTGAATAACAATAAATAAATAAATAAATAAATAAATAAATAAATAGTACACTTCTGTTTAGGCAGTTATGGAGGAACTGGCTAGGCAAAAAAGTGATAACATCATACACACACATGCACTCTATAAGGCCAGCACGTTTGTCTAACCATGCCTATAATTACATAATAAAAACAATTGTAATCATGCAATGACGCCTTCATACCAGGCTCATCTAGAAGAGGAACTGTGCTCAACTGTTAGAACCTTCGTCACAATAGTGGAAAAGTGGTTTAGGTCAAACCAATGGAATAAACTCAAGACAGAACTTACATGATATTTGCCTCCCTCTTTTGAAAGGTGCATCATTGTACTTCAGGAGGCCAATGAAGGGTTGGCAGAGAGCAGGCAACCAAAAGAGAAGATGATTGGGGCAGAGATGACAAGAGCAGATGAAAAGTGCAGTCCATGGCAGAGTCAATGGAGAAACCATGGTGGCCCACAACCCCAAGAAAGACTGGTAGACTGGGGTAGAGTGATGGAGATAAGATGATGAAGGTGGAACCCACGCTAAATACAATAGGGTGAACCAGGGTGACACCACAGGTCAGCAGTCAAGTGAAGACACCTTTACTTCTATAATGCTTTACAGCGATAAAAAAAAGAAAATGGCAAACATACGAATTCTTATTAACATGATAAATGTTCAGCAGGTAGTTCCACAAAAATTAGGTTTCTCACTTTGAGAGAGATCAACAGTAGGGCAGATTTACCAACCTTAATAGATCAAATCAAAGCTGACAGTGGCAAGGAACTCAAACTCCATCATTGGTAGAAATTGAGAAAAAATAGCCTTAGGTGAAACCAGGCTCAGTTGGGGACCACTTCTTCTCTGGCCTAGAGAATGAAGAGGCAGGTTCAACCAGTTGTAGGTGACTGGCTTATGAGTGGACTTGAGGAGCATCTTTCTTGTTTAGGACCTGGAATATTGGAACTTAAGTCAAAGGACCAAGAGGGACACATCCAGAGTAGTGAAATACTAGTATGAAGGCAAGTCAACAACTGACTAAAGTGGAGCAAGAGGATTGAGGTAGCCCAGTGAAACCATGCAGCTGATGGGTCGGAGCGCCAAGGTGAAGTTAAGGGCTCTGTGGCTGAAGTTGGGGACAGGAGGTTTAAATGGTAGGTTGGAGCAGGGACCTGAAAGACAAGAGGTGGATGGGCACAGTAGGCTGAAGCAAAAAATATAAAATAATAAAAAATAAATAAAAATAATAAGTCAAGGTTGTGCAAGCAACCAACAAAGATCAGTAATGGAGGTGGGAGAGGGAGCATAAGACTTTAAGCTTGGTGGAATAAGTAGAGATGCAAGATATTCTTGGGCTGGGCAGAACAAGTTGAGATGCGGGAGACTCAGTGCTGAGGAGTACCAATGGGAAGTCATGGAAGATCAAGGAGAACATTTTATTTGAAATCCTCAAATAACTGTGTTAATTTCAGCAGCAGCTCTCCCTTAACGGTGTAAGTGCAGGCATGGCTTCCCTTCATGCCCTCAAACTCTCCAAGCAAACACACTATGATGGTTGATGTTGGCTTTTTGTGAAACAGGTTAGACACTTCACTGGGCTTGGGTTCAAGGATAATAATTGGCACAGTATTAACTGCAGGGTGTGGTAGGTGACCAGCTGGCCTTTGTTTCTGGAGTAGAGCTGAGCTCCAGCCCTAACCAAGTCCTGGCCTGTTGTATTTAAGTCCTAATCTGAACCAGCCTGACAACATCTGCAATTTTTTTAGCCCGGACCTGACCCGTGACCAACATCAATATCTCTTTAAGCTATCTGTAGGTGGGTTTTCAATACAAATTTGTGCAAAATCTTTATTGACTTTGTTATGCAACTAAAATAATAAATAAATGTTACATAATACAAAACTAGCAGTGACAGATATTAGTTTACAACTGTCCCAGTCAACGCCCTACTATTATTCACTGAAGTAGATCAATGCATGTTACAAATGGGTAGTTCACCCAAAACTGATAATTCTGTCAACATTAACCTACCCTGTACTTATTTTAAACCTTTAAGGGATTCCTTCTGTTGAATGCAAAAAAAGATATTTTGAAGAAAGCTAAAAATTTGTAATCTTTGACTTTCACAGTATTGGTTTTTCCTACTATAGAAGTCAACAGCATACCTGTTAATCCTCCCGTTTTTCCCAGGATTCCCTGTATTTTAAAATTCTATCCTGCTATCATCCCGATGGGTGGCAACAAACATTAAAGAGCCGATCTTCCCTACAATATATGCAATTCAAACCGCCAAACCATCAGGGGCCACCCCTTGCTCTTAAATGTGAGTCTGTTCTTTGCTTTCGCTTTATTTAGGCATTAAAACACTTTGAAGTAGATATAAAACGGTGTGATTCCCCTTCCTTTTCATTTCAGGTGCCGTCGCCCATCCTATGCATTTCTCAAAACCGTCATATAGCAGTGTGTGACTGTCAGCTGACGTGCTTCATAGTGATAAATAGACGCTGTTTCCCAAACGGATTCTGTACATGCGATTTGAAGCAGAGCGAAAGTCTGAGTTTTGGGTGCGTGTTTGAACAGACTTATACACATAATTAATAATAATAACAACATCTAAACATGTTGGTCATTGAGGGGTTTTTTTCCAATTAATTTTGTCCTAAATCAGCATAAAAGTCAGGAAAGCAATCAAATGCTTTCATTATAATGTTAGATGTATGCATTTTTAAAGTGACACCTCTGTTATTTAATGTAATCAAACAAAAAATCTAAATAAATGAGAGATTCATTCGTTGCTCTTTAATCAGAATGTGTAAATTATACAGTAAGGAAAAGATTAATGAGATTTGATAACTTGATTCTATTTCTTTATAACATTTATTAAATTTAAGAGCTGAACTGTTTGCTAATTTATTTACTGCTAATGTATACTATTTATTTTTTTCTTTTGTAAATAATAATAAAACAAACATATTACTGACCGTTTAACTATTTATTTGCAATGAAACAGCTCCAGGTGAACGTATTCATTCATTCCAGGATTTGCCCTTCATATTTGATATCTGCCACATTAGCAGCTTAAATGTTGCATAATGCAATAATTCAATGTCCAATGTACACAGTATAGATTCTATATACAGGCAAGCACTTTTACATCTTATTATACTTCATAATTTAGATTCTAATTGATAAAAATAAGAACAGGCGGTTGTAAAATATTTCTCCGCATATTGTACTGTGTATGAGATAAATACAATGGTAGTTTGTGTAATACATGCTTTGGTAAATCAAATTTATGTATTCATTTATTTAATTAATAAATAATGGGTATTTCAGTATCTTGAGGGATATTTAGTGTATTCTGACCAAAAGTATCCCCTGATTAGCTATTTCAGAGGTTACTGTAGGTCAAACTATATGAAATCTGCATCTAATTTGACTTTACGTTTAGCCTATGGAGAAACTTGTAGACCCAATGACTATCGGTGTTGTAGATCTGCCGGATTCAGACTGTTGAACGATTTTTTTTGCTGTTTGTTTGTTTGAGCCCTAAACATACTACAGTTTTGGTTATGCACAGTACATGTTTAAGAACTTTGAAAACCCCTGAAATATTACACCAAAATGAGAACAAAAATAAACTGGACCTACAATACACATAACATATAAGAAAAAGCCAGTAGTAGCTGTGGAATTCTGGGTGAAGTAGTACCTTGCAGACTCTTGGCACTAGCATAATCCATGCTCCAGCTAACTAACGCCATGGTAATACCCAACAACACCAGAAAGATCCAGTCTTCTCCCAATTTCGAGACAAGGAACTTCTGTACTCGAGCCACACAGTCTGGGAAAACATTACAATCCCAATCAGACTCTAAACCTCTCAAACATTATTGGCATCTGCTTTTCAAGGCTCATTATTATTGACCTCTGCATTTGGAGTAAGAGCGGCGTTTCTTGAAGGACGACGTGTGGCCCTGCTCCTCCTCTGGTCTATCATGAATGCTCCCTATCTCCAGATCCAGATGGGGCCGGCTATGATGGCGACTTCGGCTTCGGCTGTGACTGCGCCCCTGGTGAGCATGATGGTAGTGTCCGTGGTGGTGGTGATGTCCATGTTTTTTCCGCTGTCTCTCCATCAGAAGGCGAGTAGCCTCTCTCCGCTGAGACCCACCAGGGTGCTCTCTGTACTCTCCATATAGCTGAGAACAGAGGAAAACATCCAAAAAATATCGGTAAATAAGCTGACACTTTTTGGTGAAAGACATTTACAGCGTCATTACCCCTGAATCAACAAAAAAACTATAGCAGGATTTAATAATAATAAAAAAATAAATAGACACACAGGCAGATAGACAGACAGATAAATGCATTAGACAGACAGACAGACAGACAGACGGACGGACTAACGGACAGATGGACGGACAGACAGATAAGTAGATTGGATGGATGGATGGATGGACAGATGGATGGAAAAACTGATAAATACACTGGATGGATGGATGGATGGATGGATAAATGAATAGATGGATGGACAGACAGAAATAAATACAATGGATAGATGGATGGACAGTTGGATAGACAAAGACAGACATACAGACAGAAATACATTGGATGGATGGATGGATGGATGGATGGATGGATGGATGAACAGACAAATAAATACATTGGATAGATGGATGGATGGACAGATGGAAGACAGACAAATACATTGGATGGATGGAAGGATGGATGGATAGTTGGGTAGACAGAAAGACAGACATACAGACAGAAATACATTGGATGATGGATGGATAGACGGACGAACGGACAGACAGATAGAAAGACGAATAAATACATTGGATGATGGATGGATAGATGGACGAACAGACAGACAGATAGAAAGACAAATAAATACATTGGATGGATAGATGGATAGATGGATGGATGGATGGATGGATGGATGGATGGATGGATGGATGGATGGATGGATGGATGGATGGATGGATGGACGGGCAGACAAATTTATTGGATGGATAAATGGATAGGTGGATGGATGGACAGACAGACAGATAGAAAGACAAATAAATACATTGAATGGATGGATGGAAGGATGGATAAATGGATGACAGATAAATACATTGGATGGATGGATGTATGGATGGATAGATAGACGGACGGGCAGACAAATACATTGGATGGATGGATGGAGGGATGGATGGTTGGGTAGACAGAAAGACAGACATCGAGACAGAAATACATTGGATGGATGGATGGATGGATGGATGGACAGACAGAAAGACAAATAAATACATTGGATGGATGGATGGATGGATGGATGGATGGATGGATGAATGGATGGACAGACGGAAGACAGATAAATACATTGGATGGATGGATGGATGGGTGGACAGACAGACAAATATATTGGATGGATGAATGCATGGATGGATGGATGGATGGATGAATGGACGGACAGACAAACAAATACTTTGGATTGATGGATAGACGGATGGATGGACAGACAGACAGACAGACAGACATTGGATGGATGGATGGATGGATGGATGGATGGATGGATGGATGGACAGACAAACAGATAAATACATTGGACAGACAGACAGACAGACAGACAGACAGACAGACAAATAGATAGATAGATAGATAGATACAACCTCAATAAATGCAGTTTATTATTATTTGTTTTACATTATTTTATTTTAAAATCTAAATTTTAGATTTCATTAATATTTAAGAAGCTATTACTTAAGAGAAGGTATTATTCACTGTTAAAATACTAGTTTATTAACATGCAATTTTTAATATTGATTCTAATATTCTTCACCAGTTTTGTCATACAGTTGTCATAGAAACTTTTTCTTCTTCAAAAAAAAAGGAAAGCAAAGTCGCTGCCCTCATTTTCAAAAACAACGTGACGCATCGAGAGGTGACAGAGGAGAGTGAATCCAAAAATAGAGGAAAATCTTCTCAACATGCTTTGAGTAAGTCCACTGGCGGAAGAGCAGTAGTCTACATTTAGATTTATAGCCATCTGGATAAGTCCCAGACATCTGGAAAATACATTCCCAGTGTCTTCCTTCGCAGCACTTTCTCTAATGCCCACACATACACACACTGACCTGAAACAAAACCATTTTCTCACTTAAGTCTACAGAATTACACAACTGACCAATTTATTCTGCAAATCACTTTAATTGTTCTATAAGAAATCTATTGAACAATCTAAGAAAATTTAAATCTAAGAAATATCAATTCATAGGGAGAGAATGGGACTGATACATATTGCACTTACAAGCTTTTAAAGGAGACCTGTTATACTCCTTTAAAAGATGTCAAATAAGTCTCTATTACACTTACTCAGGGGTTAGCACTCTCGCCTCACAGCAATTAGGTTGCTGGTTTAATTCCTGGCTGGGCCAGTTGTGGTTTTTGTGTGGAGTTTGCATGTTCTCCCCGTGTTAGTGTGGGTTTCCTCCATGTGCTCTGGTTTCCCCAGTCCAAAGACATACGCTAAAGGTGAATTGGGTAAGAAAAAATGTCCACAGTGTATATGTGTGAATGTAAGAGTTTATAGGTGTTTCCCAGTAATGGGCTACAGCTTGAAGGGCATCCGCTGTGTAAAACATATGCTGGATAAGTTGTTGGTTCATTCCGCTGTGGCGACCCCTGATATATGCTAGCCACGCCCATTTGCTAAAACATACGTCATCTGACAATTTAACTAAAAACAAAAAGGAAGTGCATTTTCAGATTTTAATAAAAGAGCAGAAAGGCAAACATTTTTTTTTCTTAATGACATGCACAGATGAATTGTTCACTACAGAACTAGCAATGTAAGCTAACAAAATCATATGGTTAGTTTTGATTTGCTGGGGACTTGAATGTTGGTCTCTCTCTACTGCTTTAATATGGAAGGTGGATTTTTCCCTCCTTTGGAAGTATGAACGAAATATGGGCTACAGAATTAAAACAACATGAGTGAGTGAACAATAGTTTCTGAATGAAGTAAATAATCAATATCTTCTGATACATTCATCTATTTTTGAATAGAAAAACAATGCTGAAAACAATGACAAACAATGGGAAAACGATGCTGGTGGATGTTGAAGTGCTTAAATCTTTAACAATAGCTTAATCAAACTTTACAAAAAAAAAAACATGGGAAATCAGGGTGTCCGCGGGGTCTTAAAAAGTATTAAAATTTAAATAAATGTGGACAAATTCAAGGCCCTTAAATGTATTAAATGCTATTTCGCAAGGCATTACATTATATAATTTTTGATTATACAATGTATGGCTGTATGCTAAAGTTTCCCTGAATTAAATCTGTGAATATCAAGATGCTGTTTAGTTTATGAAATCAATGAAATCCAACAAAATTTGACATCACGCTGCTATGTTTACTGCAGTAACCAAGGTAACACTTATTTCTGCATTTCTATAGGCATCAACCTGCTGAATTAGCTAGATTTAATAGATTTTAATCCAGCAAATGAATAATGTTTTAGTTTTGGATTAGTTTCTTACATTAATATTTAGTAAATGTACTGCAAGGTAAAATCTCACCAGTGTTTCCGGTTAAAACCTAAAGTGGTAACAGTTTACAATAACAGCACATGAATAAAGATGTATTATTATGTAAACTAAACATTAGGTTATTATGAATTGATGATGAGTTAAGGTATGCACTAATCATGAATTAACTTTAACTACAACATGATTCACATGAATTCATGTGTGAATGACGGCTACCTTAATTACTTGTTAGTATATGACTGATTGTTAATTAATGTATTAATTACCACATTAGTTTATGCTTAATTTAACCATGATGAACTCATGATATGTTAATGTATAATTATGTTGTGACTTTACTTGGAGGGTCACATCATCATTAACCCATTCTTAACTACTCACGAACTCCTTATGCACGTCCAATTAGTGAGTTTACACTGAATAACAACAGAGAAGTGTTCTGTCAACATCAACATGAACTGGAGTTCATGAGTAGTTAAGGATGAGTTAATAGTGATGCGCCCCTCCAAGTAAAGTCATGACATAACTATAGATTAACAGCTCATGAGTTCATGTTGGTTACATTTAGCTTAAAATTAAATGTTAATTAATACATTATTTAAGTTTATTAAGTAATTAAGTTATTAAGTAAGTTTATAAAGTAATTATTAAGTAATTAATATATTAATTAGCAACATGTACTAACAAGTAATTAAGATAGTCGTTATTTACACATGAACTCATGTGACTCATGTTGTAGTTAAAGTTAATTCATGATTAGTGCATATCTTAACTTATCAATAATTCATAATAAAGTAATGTTTAGTTTGCATATTAAATTATTATTTATGTATACTGTTATTGTAAAGTGTTACCCCTAAAGTAGTTTTAAGGTCTTAAAATGTATGTAAGGAGTCTTCAAAAAGGTCTTAAAAGGTATTGAATTTCATTCTCTGATTCCTGTATATACTCTGGATAAATAGGTGTTTCTTTTTTTGAGTTGCACAGCAGCTCAATGTAATTGGCTGTTGTATGATGAGTAAGCTAGTGCTGATGCCAATGCCCTGTGTAAATCTAGCATGAGTTGCATCAGGGTAAGATCTCACCAGTCATATTTGAGGAACCCACATATAAGTATGTTTTTTTTGGGCATGTGAATGAGCATGTAAGACACATAATGTCCTTCCAGGTTCGTTGTATTAAAAATTCAGGCATCCACACAAATTATTTACATCCCAAATAACCCATTCAATCACTGAAGAGCTATGGAGGTTTTTCTTTGACAGAGGTCTCCATAGGAAATGCTGTCTGAATAGTGCTTTAGACAATATTCATTCATTTATTTTCCCATTTATCACTCAGGGGTTGCTGCAGAACCACCAACCGCATATGTTTTACACAGCAGATCCCTTCTCTAGCTGCAACCCAGTGCTGGGAAACACCCATTCACACCTGTCTCATATTCACAAACATACACTATGTCCAATTTTATTCAAATCATTTATACCGCATAACCTTGAACTGAAGGGGAAACTGGAGCTCCCGGATGGAAACCTATGCCAGCATGGAAAGAACATGCAAATTCTAGCCAGGACTCGAAACAGCAACCTTCTTGCCCCAGCTGGGCCATTTGTCATTTCTGTGTGGAGTTTGCATGTTCTCCCAGTGTTAGCATGGGTTTCCTCCG